TACCCAGCTTTGAGGTTCTTCTTGTAAAGTAACGCTTCTGGAAGGAGACCCAAGGAAATGATCTGTATAAAAAAAGTCTTGCAATGACCAGAAAGTCCTGAGATGTTGACTGCAAAGGGAACATGAGGGACTTCTGGGGTGCCGAACTCTCCTTGTATCTTTATTATGGGGGGGTAGCTGTGCAGCTTCTACCTATAAAATATGCAGTGGTAAAACTGAAAGATTGGAACTTCGGGGTTTGAGCATCAGAGCTCTGTAAACCCAACTCACAAACTGCCTAGACATTTACTCAAAGGCATCTCCTCTCCACTGGGGTAGCTAGTAAATGGTGGGTGTTCAGATCCAGCTTTCTATTAGCCTTTGGGGATGAAATAGGAAGGCATCTTTTTTAAAATGATACATTTATTTAATAGAAGATTAGTATATGTTTATTGAAAGTCAAAATTAACTGAAACTTCAAGCATAGAAATATGAGATCTTGAGCAGTAGCGAGATCTTAATCTGTAACAGTGATATTCTCATTTTGTATTTGTGATAATTGAAGGAGTTGGATTGTGAATTCTGAAATGAACAATTCTGAAAGCAGAATTTCCTGCAGGATGGAAAAGAAGTAATTATCTTTCTAATTACCTTTTTAGGATGAGAAAGTGGGCAGCAACAATGGAATCAGAGTCTGGGGTGGGAGGAAGCGCTTGCCCCTGTTGATAATTGCAAACTTGGCATCGTGGATTTGACGCACACTCCACAGGACAGCCATGGGAGCAGCTGCGTTTTCTCTTTGGCAGCCTTCTCTACTGCCCCTCCTCCATGCCCCCCTCACTTGGTGGCTGAGGTTCCCATCTGGAAAGCCTGTTGCCACAGGATACAGAATCCACTGGGAAAGAGAGAAAGCTGTGTGTAAGGTTAGGCTTGGCTGGTGGCTCATATAATCAGGGAAACCATGTGGAAAGCTTATTCATCCGTATGCAAGAGCCTGTGCTGTAGCTCCGTGATAGAGCTGCAGTGGAGCTGTAGGCCCTGACATTGTGCTTGAGGCCTGCAGCATTTATAGTTGTGATCCTAAGTACGGGTGAGAGTGACCATTTGTCATTCAGCAATAATGAGGCATGCGTTTGGCTCCCATGAAGAACAGCTAGAGCCCATTTTATTTATTATTATTATTTTTTTATTAAATGATTCACCAGGTCACAAAGAACTATAGAGTTGCTCTGGTATTTCCCGCTTACTCTCGTCTCTCTTAAGTGACTCTCTTACCTTCTAAGGAATCTAAGGTGGCCTGCAGGGTTTTGGACCCGGGACTGTGTGACAAGCTGACTCCACTCTGCTGCCTTTGTGGTGCTCTCTGCTTGAGTGCTCCCAAGTGGATGAGCAGTCCAGATACAGCCTGGGGAGGGGACGGTACGCTTCTCAGTTCCTGCTGTTGGCTCAGCCACAGTCTGGGCTTCTAGAAAGCTCTGGAAACCTCAGTTAGCACTGGGAATGGAAATCTATTGCGCCATGGGCACTAGCTTTAGAACCAGAGTGGAAACTTGACAGCACCCTCCTTCCATCCTCTCTTATATTCATTCCTTCTTCCTCTAAGAAATGCATGTCCACAGAACTGAGCTACAAGCTGCTTCCTGCCTTATTGAGCACAATATTGTCCGTGTTATTTGAGTTTCACTTCTTTTCTATACTCACACAGTTTGCCACTCTTGGCAGCCTGCTGCTTCAGCTGTAGTAAAGATTCTGTTGAGATGTGGCCTCAGCTGATGACACCAGGTACAGAAGGGCATCCTATAGTGGCATCTGTAATTGCCAGTCTGTCAGCAAGCTGTTTGGAAATCAGTGTATTGGTTTGTGTTTTCTTTGCCCTCCCTGAATGTTGTGCTGGGCAGTAGTCTGCAGGGTCATTTAGGTGAAGCCCATTCCAGAGCCTGACCAGACCCTAGCAAGCATCCCCACCAAAGCTGCTTGTGAAATTGGCTGAGGAATTTCTTCCATACCATTCAAACTTGGTTCTTTTTTAGCCTAGTGTGTTGACTCCTCCTTCATGTTCTAGAAGATGTGCACTAATTTATTCCGTCCCCTCCCTCCCTTCTTTTCATTTTGTCTTTTTAGCTGTAACACTGATAGGGCCTAGAAAGAGGTTCACTTGCTGGAAAGACTGGATTTCACTTTTGGGCAGCATATTTCATAATATGTGTGTGTGTTACACTGCTATTCCTGAAGTGGCGTGATGTGGCAGTTAATTAAAAGTACCCTGGACAAGGCAGAGGCAGAAGGATCTTTTTGAGTTCAAGGCCAGCCACGTCTGCAGAGTAAGTTGCAGGGCAGGCTCCAAAGCTACACAGAGAAACCCTGTCTTGGAAAAAAAAAGAAAAAGAAACACTATCCTGGACATTTTTGATGCATATAGACTGTTAAGCCTTACAGTCCAGAGGTCTCACTGGCCTGACCTCCTGTTAGCAAAAAGCTTGAAATGAATGTTAATTTAAGCTAGGAAGTCTCAGAATTGCTGCTGATCATAAGAAAAAAGGTGCTTGCTTGGATGTGGTCATGAATGTAGCCACCGATGTGATTTAAAGTCTGTCAACAGCAAAAAGGCTATGACATCTGGCCATCCAAGACAATGGAGATCAGGTTTAAAGTGCTCCTGGCTAAAAGAGATTGTTGACATTTTTTATCTGTTTTAAAATGAGAAATAGACTAAACCACCAAAGCCACAAACCCTGTGCCTAACAATCCCTTTGGATCATGCCCTCCTTATATTATATTGTTAGAGACATGCATAATGAGGCCACAGTGCCCCAGGCAAAGGAGTCACCATTCTTTATCTGTAGAATAATAGGTGTCGCCAGCATAATGGTGTACATAATTATATAGCATTTAAATGTCTTGATTGAAGCTCTGCTTTTATTTTCTGAAAATCTGTATAGGCTAAAAAGTATCAGGCACCAAAGAATCCTGTGGAGTAAGTGGGTCCCAGGATACCTCATGGATTTCTACCAAAGTGGGAACATGACTATCATTGAGAAATACATCTGCTATTTTACTTGGTGTTTTTTGTTTGGTTTTGGTTTTGCTTATGAGAGTAAAATTGGCTAAGGTGTAGTTCAGTAGCAGAGGCTTCACCTAGCATGATATACTGTCTTAGGTTTAATCTTCAGTACCCTTAAAATTAAATAAAAATATTAACTATTGACTATTAACTGACTATATTTTAAATCTCAGTTTTTCTCAGAGTAACAAGGAGAGGGTCTCAAGTAGCTTAACTGCTGGTTTGAAAATGACAGAGCACGTGGAGTACTAAAATGTATGTTTTATCTGTATGCAAAGCATTTTGTAAAGTGGTGTGCGCGTGTGTGTTTCCCATTTTTAAAAGTGTTATTTTTACAAAGGAAACTAGAATAAGAAACATTTTCATGTCAAAAAAGTCTACGATAGATAGATATGTAGATAGACAAAACAAACCTGAGTGTGTAAATGTGATAGATAGTAGTACATGACTTTAACTCTCAGGCAGAGAGGCAGAGGCAGAGGACAGCTCACAGGCAGCCTGTGCTACATGACAGGACCTTCCTTGCCTCAGAAAAGGGCGTTGGAGAGAGCAGCATGACTCCAAGCCTGTAAAACGTTTTCAGATTTATTTTTGACATGCCTCTTCCCAGAGCACTAAAAACCCAAATTAAACACTACCCTGCCCCTCCTCCAAAGCTTTTCCTTTGTCACCTGGAGAAAGGAGACAAAGCCCAAAGTCACATGGCTGGAACTGGCTGGTGGCACACTGAAGAATTTGAAGAATTGCCTCTAAAACAGTATTAGCATATTAGCATATGCCCATGGCTCTTATATGGGGAAAAGAAAGAAAAAAAGTTTTCACCTCCAAGTTTCTGCCTCTTCAGTATCTTTTTTTTTTTTTTGGGGGGGGGGGGGTCAGAGACTAGCCTTCTTTCTGAATGGTTAAAGAAAATGTGGGGATTTCTGTTTGAATAGGATGCATGAAGTTCTGTCCTAGTGAAACAAATAAATGTTCATGCGTGCCTGGATAGTACCACCTCCTCTGCAGCCTGGGTCAGTGAGGGAAGTGCTGTCCAGCCCAGGTTCTAGCCAGAGCACTGCAGGAGCCATCCCCCCAGTGCAGGAGCCATCCCCCCCCAGTGTAGGAGCCATCCCTCCAGTGCAGGAGCCACCCTCCAGTGCAGGAGCCATCCCTCCAGTGCAGGAGCCACCCCTCCAGTGCAGGAGCCACCCCTCCAGTGCAGGAGCCACCCCCCAGTGCAGGAGCCACCCCTCCAGTGCAGGAGCCATCCCTCCAGTGCAGGAGCCACCCCTCCAGTGCAGGAGCCACCCCCCCCCAGTGCAGGAGCCACCCCTCCAGTGCAGGAGCCACCCCTCCAGTGCAGGAGCCACCCCTCCAGTGCAGGAGCCATCCCTCCAGTGTAGGAGCCACCCCTCCAGTGCAGGAGCTACCCCTCCAGTGCAGGAGCTACCCCTCCAGTGCAGGAGCCATCCCCCCAGTGTAGGAGCCACCCCTCCAGTGACTGCATTTCCAGCATCAATTTCGTTTCACTCAACCCTTCTGGTGAGCTATGAATTTGCACAATGTGGTGAATATTTCCATAAATGTCATATTAAAGCAAGATGCTGAGGCAAGGGGTATTAAATAAATAATAAAGCTAAGTGTTAACACACACCTTTAGTCACAGCACTTAGGAGATAGAGGCAGATCTGTGAGTTCTAGGCCAGCCAGAATTACATAGAGGTCATATATTAAAACAAATAAATGAATGTGTGAGATATATATATATATATATATATATATATATATATATAATGAATTCTTTCCATTTCAGAATTATAGTTAAGAGTTTCAATGTAAAGTTATTAGTTGTCAACTCTCATGACTTTTGATCATAGTGACTACACCCAGTACTATTTGAAGAGAAGGACCTGCTGATGGAAGATGGTTGGGTTTTAATAAGAGAGAACACCAGTTTTGTCTTTTGTGTTTTATTTAGATTTCGACACAGTCCCAACTGCTGGTACCTGAGAGACTGGACCATCCACAGCTGGATTAGACAGTGTCTGAAATACGGTGCGCAAGGCAAAGCCTTGTACACCCTCATTAATAAGGTGAGTGTTTGCTGGCAGACTTCCTGGGCGTATGTGATCTGCTGTTTGTACCAGAGATGGTACCAAAGAGAAGTGCCAGAAGCCGCTTTCTTAAGTTGTCCCCCCAGATTCCTTATCATGCTGTTTTCATACTGGAGCTGGTTATAAAGTAACCAACAAACTAAAAACCCAAAGCTCCTGTAGCTGCCTCTCCTCCAAACAGCGGTCAGGTCAGGGAAGGACAGGCAAGGGTGGAGTGTGGTGGAGTCAGAGCTCCCTTTTCATCCTTAAGCCTTGGATTCCCGCCTGCTTCCCTTTCACAGGTTTGGGTGAATGGTGACCACTTTTGATGAAGTGTGATCTCCAGTTTGTTCAGACCTATTGCACTGTTTTTACTCGTCCTTCCCACAAGCCCCAGAGTTCCCGGGGTTAAGGTCTTTCTGATGTTACTCTACTTAGCACTTCAGTCTTCACTGACTCCATGGCATGGAAGTCTATGCAAAGTAAACGCAAGCTGTAGAGTGTTAGTGTTGCCAGAGTCAACTCAAAACCATTATGAGCCATTAAAGAATTTTAATGGGGCTGTAACTCCAAATCTAGGGGATTTGTACCCTTGTGTAGACATACATGCAGGCAAAACAACAGTACACAAAAAAATAAAGATAAGCTAGTAATTTTAAATAGAAAACAAACCATGAAGTTTGAATCCTGGCAGTGGTGGCGCACACTTTTCATCCCAGCTCTCAGGAGGCAGAGGCAGGCAGATCTCTGCGAGTTCAAGGCCCACCTGGTGTATAAATCCAGTTCCAAGGCAGCTAAGACTATTAAAAAAGAAAAAAAAATATTTAGCAATATTCTTTAACAATATTTTTATGAAAATGTTATTTTCATAGTGTCACTGGACCTTGAAAATTAGAGTTAAAATGGAATAATGATTGTATATTTGACTCCTTCCTCTCTGAAAAATGATTTTCATCGATAACTTTGGCTCAAGTCAAACCAATATATATATGCTCTACATGGATTTTTTGTGTGGGAAGATGAATTGATTAAGTAAGTGAAGACAGAAATGAACAGTGTCTCCTCTTTGCCCTGCGGAAATAAAGCAGTGTCCCCTCTCACTGGTGAACCTCACGTTAGAGGGATCCTCAGTGCCACACAAGAGGAGTTCAGAAGATGGAGTCCAGCTGGAAGGGACAAGTTGAGGGTAGGACAAAGAAAGGACAGCCTCGGGGGAAGGAAGAGATGAAATCTTGTTCTCTTCATCCCAGAGATTATACTCAGAGGTGAAGATCCCTTTGGAAACAGATCCAGAAAGGTCAAGGGAAGTAGAGTAAGGACCTCGTTTCTGTTGCTCCTAGGCCTTTAAAAAGAGAACTCACCGGGTGAGGGGTCAGAGGACCCAGCCTGTAAACCCTTAGGTTCTATCTGTTGCCTGGAACATCAGCCAACTGGACCTGGTTTTCTTAACTCCAACTTGAGTGAGTTGTCTTATCAGTGACTGATAACCTGAGCTGCCCACTGGAGTCACCCAAGGATTTTAGATCGACAGATGCTTCCATGGGCAGAGACAGCTGAGTCAGCATGCGGACCACAGGAGCAGGATGTTTGGAGTTTGGAATCCTATCACCCACAGAAGAAGTTGAGCTGAGCAACCCATGCCTGTGTGTGAGTGTGTGTGTGTGTATGTGTGTGTGTGTGTGTGCGCGCACGCGCGTGCGTACACACTAAACATAAATATTTGTGTTTACCCCTAATATCCTAACTAACTTGGTCTTTCTGGGCCTAGGCAATTGGGGTGCAACGCATCACTGAGTGGAAAGCATAGATATTCTCACACCTGTCCCAGCACTCAGAAACCTTCCCTAACCAGCATCCTGCTCCTGGAATAGGATGTCTGCTGGTCCTATTCTACTGTACTTAGAGTGTTGTGTTTTTGATGTGTGGGTGTGGATGAAATGCCATGAGTCTAGAAGTGTCACTGTGATCTATCTTTTTTCCTCCTTAGGAACTTTTACCTTAGATTGTAAATCCTGGACTGGCTGGCTGACTTCCTTTTCTTTGTTCTACAAACTTTACCCTGTACCCCAGATTGGATCTTGCTATATAGCCCAAATTGCCCCAGAACCCAGCTCAGTTCTGCCTCAGCCTTCTGAAGAATTAATAGGTGTTTGGACCACACTCAGCCTGAACCAGTTAATTTCAAAGGTCCTTTCTAGCTCCAATCAATTCCCATTCTGCAGTGTTTTGGCTTTAACCTCCCTTGGATTCATGCTAATGTGGGTGACTCTCTGAGCTGCAGCCTTCCTGGGGGTGTTCACTTCAACACACCTGAGGCATCCTGTGTGCTGTCATGAGTCAGTGTGGGTGATTCACAGCTAGGAACCTCCCAAGGGAGTAGGTGGGCTGAGGGGCAGGAAGGGTTCCCCAGGCGTTTGTGGCGGTCAGTGATGCTGTGGAACAGGGGCATTAATCCTATTGAAGTAAGACCTGGGGGTGAAACTAACCATGATCTAGGCAGAAGGGAGTCAGTCAGGCTCAGGTGTATATGAAAATCACAGAAGCCTGCTAAAAACTTCAGGGTTCAATTCCAGAGCTCATACTATGGGCCTGAGGCTTCAAGAGCTGAATCATTAATATGCTCCTGCCAAACCCTGAGGCAGACACTGAAGCATCTTTATTTATTCCTAAAATATTACTCCTAAGTTCTGGCATCTTAAATATGCAGGTAAACAGAATCCAAAGAGCTCAATACATAACAAAGCATTGGCATATTTCTTGGGCATTTAGAAGCTCGAGCCAGAACACATGCTGTACATTCGTGCTTTTTTTCTTAGGAACTATTTTTGCATTTTCATTCACTGGACCAGCTATGTGTGGAGGAAGGGGGGATGGTCCTTGGTGTTGTTGCTGCTGCCGTTTTTAGCTATGACGAGCTGTTGGAACTGATCCCTGTTTTCACCTGTCAGCTGTCATCTGTGAGACACCCACTCACAACTTTCTCACCCTGACCAACAGTTCCAGTTACCAAACCTCATGAGTCACAGCTTCATATGCTGTGGAACGACAGTCACAAAGGCTTATATTACACACTGAATTACACACTCTTTCTCCATTTTCATTTTTATTACAGGTTCAGTATGGAATTTTTCCAGATAACTTTACATTCAATTTACTGGTGGATTCTTTCATAAAGCAAGAAAATTACAAAGGTAAGAAACCAAATCACCATTCAGTTAATACAGGGCTTTCCGCTCCCAAATGGACGTGTACAAATACAAGCAGCTTCCTCCTTCTTAATTCTTAATTACATCTCTTTCCATTACTCTTCTAGTCAGAAAAGTTTACGTGAAGATTATTATCATTATTCAAAAAACTTCAAGTGTCACCCTTTTTTTGCTGAGATAGAAAACACCGAAGTATGTAAGTGATTCTAAAGAAAAAGTTAGTTATATGGACCAATCTGATTCCACATCCCAATCTGATTGACATGCAGAATATAAAGAATAAACTAAAAATTGATTTAGTTTTCATGTGTAATTTTGGGATCTATAACAAACAGTTGGCAGTTAGGTTTGCAAACAGAAAAAGGTCAGTGAAATTGCTCAGTGGGTAAAGGCGCCTGCCGCCAAGTCTAAGAACCTAAGTTAGATGTCTGGGGTCCACATGGCAGAAGGGAAGGACTGACTCCAGCCAGTATCCTCTGACCGCCACACACATAAATAGGAAGTAAAATAATAATGTAGTAATCAGTATGTGATTTCAGGAAGGAAGAAGAGGGGACTTAGCTGGAGTGTCAGGACTGACTGCTCTTGTACAGGACGCAATTCAGTTCCCAGCACCCCACATGGCAGCCAGCAACCCTCTGTCACTCCACTTCTAGAGGACCTGGTGCCCTCTTCCTGCCTCCTCAGACACTACACATGTACTGCACAGACATAACGTGCAACCAACACACACACACACACACACACACACACACACACACACACACATAAAGTTAAAAATAAATCTTAACAACAGTGACAAAATAGGCTTTAATTTTTTGTGTTCTTTGAAAATATTGATGTGATTATTTAAAAGAAAATCTCACCCAGCCTGTGGCACACACCTTTAATCCCAGACTCACCAATGATACATTCTCAAATAAGAAAAGGAAATCTCTTCCAGGTCCTATTTTGCTAGGTTTACTAGATGATGCTTTACTGCTCTGCCTCGGCTTCCCCATTTGCAAAAAAGGGCAAACAATCGATGCCTCTTAGCCTCCCATAAAACCATTGCAGCATTTGCCAAACCAGCTAGCCAGGAACAGCTGCACATCCTGCTAAGCTTTCTGTAATTATGGGTGTATGCAGAGTGAGCAGAGGAGCACATACACACAGTTGAAAATATTTGTTGGAGCTGGGTGTTGGTGGCGTACACCTTTAGTCCCAGCATTCAGGAGGCAGAGGCAGGCGGATCTCTGTGAGGCTAGTTCCAGGACATCCTCCAAAGCCACAGAGAAACCCTGTCTCGAAAAACCGGAAAAAAAGAGAGAGAGAATAAAAAAGAAAACATTTGTTGGATGTGTGGCATGTTTCAGTGTTAGTATTAACATTCTCTACCTTGACCACAAATTACTGAGGTAAAGAAATTTCTCGTACTTGATTTTCTTAGCTTTTGTCTATGTTGTAGAGTATGGTGGGAAAATAGGAGTCATCTGGGACCTGTTCTTGTATGACCGGCATTCATATAGTTATAAATAACAAAGGTTGTGTGTTATACTTAGGGGCTTATACTTTATGAAGGAACATTTTCCTCTCCCTTCAGTGAATTCTTTTACACTGCTCTTTATTAGCCCTGTTTTTGTCTTTGAAAAGATTCCCTGGGTTTGGGAGTTGCTGTAGCCTTTGTCTTGCTTAGCCTCAACAGCAAGAAAGCCTGCTTGCCTGTCAGGGTGACCTTGGCAGTACTGTGCCGTTGTGCCCCCCCCCCCCCCCCCCCCCCCGTGCCTTAGCTCTCCTGGCGGGGGGACATCGCATGAGGCACTATCTGGTTGAAGTAAATAGAGCAAGCAGTATTTGATCGTTTATGAAGGTGCTACTTACTTACTGGGAGGCAAAGACATCAGCGCTTTGGTGCATGTTGGAAGTCACTGATGTAAAAGCCTCTGATGGAGTGTGCATGCACAGGGTGTATGGTGGCTGGTAAAGGACCTGCTCTGTAGAAAAACCAGAACCATGTTTCCTAGATCTTAATTCTGCTTATTTTGCCACTGCACTGCACTTTGAAAGAACATTTGTTTAGGTTAGAGGTTAGAGATTTGATGATGCTACCTACAACGAATTTCCTCTCTTCATCTTCTTGCCAGATGCTTTATCTGTGGTTTTTGAGATCATGATGCAAGAAGCCTTTGAAGTACCATCTACCCAGCTTCTCTCCCTTTACGTTTTATACCATTGCCTGGCCAAGAAGACAGAGCTCACAGTAAGTGATGTGCCCTGATGCAGAGCTGAGAGCTAGAGGAGAGATATGCAGTGACCACAGGGCAGGCAGAAGACGGCAGAGGAAGCCTTGCCCGCAGAATCCGGAGAAGAGTGTCCATGTCCATGTGCGGCTCTGACCGTGCGCAGCCAGAAGTGAAAGCTCATTCTGTGCGCTTTGTTTTCAACAAAGTGCAACTGGACACTTTCCAAGTAAAAGCCTGTCCACACACTTTGTGGAGTTTGGAGAGGTTGGTCTTGTTTTGATACCGGAAGGCTGAACCTAGAGCCCTTTGCATACTAGGTGGGAGTTTTACTACTGAGCTACAACCCTAGCCCCTTGTGTACAATTTGAAACCTGAGCCAAGTCGGATAACCCCAGACATTCTGCAGTGAGTCCATAATAATCACTGGCAGCCAGACATGGCAGGCTGAGGAAGCAGGTGGGCAGCCAGTTTTAACCGTGAGCTAGTATATATTTAATACTGACCATTTTGTTTGTGTCGGGGTTTTCCTGCAGTTGCTCCACACCAGTTGTGTCCCAGAATCCAAGCTTTGCCTTCAGCTCTTGAGTAGGATATCTACTTATGGTTTACCCTGAGGAAACGGTGTGAAGAGCAGTGACTGATATTAAATAGCACTTGCTCTATACTACACTGTGTCCTTGGGTTTTAGATGTGTTAATGCCTTTAATCTTCACAGCAACTCTACAGCCATAGGGAGATTGAGGCATAGAGGTATTACAGAAAACCGTGGCACCAGTAGATGGATGACGTGAGGCACTGTGGCCCTGTGATCTCCTTAGTTTCAGTACCAGATCAGAAAAATCTCAGTTTGGATAGGAACTGAAGTGTCACCTAGTCCAGCCCTCACTCTGCGGACCAGAGATGCTCTGCTTTACTGAGTGTCATGACCTGTGATATAGCTTATATTCACAATATTCAGATCCCAGCACCCACATGGTGCCTCACAGCCATCTAACCCTGGAGACCCAGAAGATCAGCTACCCTGTTTTTAACCTCCACAGACCCCAGGCATGCACCTGGTGCATATACACACACATTTGGGCAAAAGAGGCGTGCGGCTGTGAAACTGTAATCTAATGAATACTAACGACGAGAGATCAGTCAATGAAAACCCCTTATTGAAGGGTTTTCTTTGTATTTTAAATGGATTAGAAATGGACTGTGGAGGTGTTGCTAAAGAGGATATGCATATGCCAAACTGGCAGAAAGGTGCTAAAGGAAGCTGGGCACAGCGGTATGTGTCTGTGACCCCTGCTCACGAGACAGGGATTTGTGAAGAAATGGTTAATTTGACTCTAATCATGTTGAAAACTTGGGATACATTGAAGCAGTCCAAAGATTTCTTGGTTGAACTGCAGGACACCGTTGGAACTTTACATCCATATGTAAATATGTGCAAATGATCTAAAGAGAAAATTGAATGGAAATCAACATCATATACATATGAGATGTCAGCATACTTATGTCAAATGCATAAACACAAATAAGTGTCCGTCACAAGTTAAGAAGGAAAATTTGGAGTGTTGAACCACACAAACCATGGAAAGAATGGCCTAGGAGAAAGGGCAGTATAAGACATGAATAACTCAGGGTCATTGAAGGTAAGGCACGGTATAAAATGGGCAGATCTACCAGTCCACATTACCGATAGAGTATGCTCAAAAGTGCTTAGGAACAAAAACTTGTTTTGGAGTTCAGATTTGTTTAAATTGTGGAATATTTGCACAGTGAGATACTTTGGAGAAGGAACCAAATCTTAGACCCATGTTTTATGTATACTTTAGACACATACCCTAAAGTCGATGATTATGCATTATGTTTAATTTGTACATGAAATGTTCCATGTAATGTGGCATTTTCTGCTTACAGTATCATTTCAAAGTTCAAAGAGTTTTAGAGCTTGGAACGTTTTGCATTTTCTGATTAGGGATGCTCAACTTGTGTCGTCTCAGACCCTGTCAACTCTGACTGGTTCCAGCCTGTCAGCTTGTGTATTTGTTGTTCATTCAGCTTCTGTTCCCTGTTGTGTCCTGACACGTAGCTCACCTTTTCTGCACAAGGAGGAAAAAGGCTTCAGACAGTGAGATGGTTCAATGGGTAGGGTGCTTGCCATCAAATCTGATGACCCTGATTGTCTCCCAGAATCCACATGGTGTAAGGAAAGTACTGTCCTTTACACGATGTCACCCTGCCCCATCCCTGTCCCACGTCTCACACATACACAGATACCTACTCGAACAAATAAAATTTGAAGCCTGCCTGATCTACATAGAAGCAACTTCCAGGCTAGACAGAACTACATAGGGAAACTTTTCTCAAAACCAAAGTTCAATTGAAAAGTAAGTGTAAGAAAAGGTTTTCAGGCTTCTTATTTATTCTGCACTGGACCCACTTTTCAGGCCATCAGTAGAAGGGAACTCGCCTAGATTACGGTGTGGGCTTTGGGAAGTGTAGTTTAGTGTTTGTTCTCCAGCACATCCACAAAAGCCAGAAGGGTTTGCATTGGAAAAGGACCAGGTCCTTAATTAGCCGTTCTTCCTTATCTGTACTATGGAAGCCTACAAGGAGTTTCCCTTTCCAGGGATCCACTGTTTTCCAAGGCCTAGGAAAATCTCCAGAACTGGGACTCTGTGCTGCACGGAGCAGGGTCAGGAGATCTTTAAAACCGAAGAACCTCTCGCCACGGCAGCAGCTGCAGACCTCCTCCTTACTCTGCTCCTCCCCAGCTTCTCAGGGCAGAGACCCTGCAGCCCCCTCCCCCCCGTGTGCTGTGGGGGAAGGGCTGCAGCTCTGTCCTTGGATAGGGCTCTGTCTAGAGGATTACAGCTGGTTGTTGCCACACCCCCTCCTCTGAGCTCTGCTTTCCAAGGGGTGCCCTAGTCACATCTGTTACTGGTGTGTGTCAAGCTCAGCAAGGCTTGTGCCCCCCCCCCTTTTTTTTCCTTTCAGGTCTCAAAAGGCTTCAATTTTATTGAAGTACAATTTTATACCCTAGGTTGGAAGTCATAGTCACTAAGTGTTTCTGATTGCCTAATTTGTTTTCAGGAGGCACAATCTATCTAAAAGCAACTTAATGGTGGTGCTTACTTTAGCACCCACCGTGAAGGAGTCTTAGGTTGCTGTGTGGTTAGTGCACTCCCTCCCTCTGGAGCAGCCTGTGGGGCCTCTCTGGCACTCTCAAGGCGGCATGGGTCCAGAGTGTACTCTATTTTCTTTTCATTTTTCTGACTGTAAAAGGCAGCGAGTGGTTTATTACCCAAAGTATGGAAAATAATGAGAAGAAAGCCAAAACAGCCTCATGATTTTACCACCTGGGAATCTTTTTAGTTATATGGAGGGTATTTCTGTTCTGATTTTTTTTCCCTAATAATTCACATTTTTCTAAAATTCACATTTTGCTAGAAGTGCCCATGGCTGCAATAGACGATGATCTGCTGTCCTCTGTTACAGTGGGAAGAGGAAAGGAACTTTGGTGTGTCCCTGTTGCTTCCAGGCCTCAAACAAAAGAACACAGTGGGCTTGAGTTCCCAGCTGTATGGCTGTGCACTTCTTGGTAAGCTACAATGAGCCCTATTAATATGTTCTTGGTGGAAAGATGTGTCATGGCTTTTTATCCCAATAAAATTAAAACTTTGTTAAAATTTACTAGTGAACTTCCACTTATACCCTACTTGTGTAGACAACAAAATAACCCTCAGTGGCCTTACAGTTGTAGGCAGTCAAGAGATGTCATAAGACCTGTCACCAGTGGCGGGCTCAGAACTGACTCTGTTAGCTGCAGTAAAATTCATTTATGATCCCTGTGAGGAAGGGGAAGCAGAAAGAAAGTTCTGACACTGTAGCAGAAGAGTGGCAGTGCTCTTTCACAGTAATAATTAAACTGTGATCCCGGAGGTAAGAAGTAGAGTTAAGGTCAGTGTCTCAGGTGAGGGAAGAGAGGTTCAGCGAGCACACTTCCTTGGGGCAGAAGGTGAATCACCTGCTGGTCCTGGGCGATTGTACCGACAGGTGCAATGGTAGCTTTAGTGAAGGGGGCAGGTGCAGGGGACAGCCTGAGCACCTGGGGTGTGTAGAATCTGGGCAGACCATCCAGCCTTCTAGAAGCCAGGCCTTTGCCCCTTGCTTCTCCCTGTCTTTCTAAGGTATAGCTCTTTGCTGTTGACGCTTTGCCAACAAAATATAGTATAAATTCTTGGATGCTGAGTCTAATATAAACTCCTGAGAAATCTGTCTCTCAGTGTGTCAGACTGGCTAGCAAACTAATATAAGAGTATTCACTCTTTTTGTTGTTTTTAGTTTGATTTGAGGATTTTGTTGTAGTTTTATGTAGAGAGTTTGTTTGGGATGGTTGGTTGAGACAAAGTTTCGTACATCCCCAGCTGACCTCCTCACTATGTAGTCATGGGGGAAGACTTTGAACTTCTGATCCTCCAGCCTCTGCCTCTTAAGTGTTAGAATTACAAGCATGCCTGCTTTATGTGATGCTGTGAATTGAACCCAAGATCTTAAGCAAGCCCTTTACCAACTGAGCTATATCCTCAGCCTTGGTTTTTGACCTCCAGAGGCAACAAGTTCTTGCTATAGCCCAGGCTAACATCAAACTTGAGTCTTCCTGTGTCCACTCCCTAGGTGCTGTTACTGCAGGTGTATGACACCACACCCAACCTGCAGCCCTTGTTTAAAATCACAGTTTGCTTATTTGCTTCCTATTTAGATACTGATTTGCATTGTTTCCCTTTCATGTTCAGATTAATGTTCAGGACTTCTCTTCTGCATGGATTGTTCAGAAAGTTGGCAAGGCTAAGAAAATGTACTTGACTGTTGTTTGTGGGTAGAGGCCCTGGTCCCTTGTGATAGGCAGCCATGCCATCAGGCACCCCCACCCCATCTGTGCTGCCATTGTGTCCCACCCTGCAGCCTCACTCAACTCAGGCCAGCAACCCAGAATGATCCCGGTGCAGCCCAAGCACCTTAAAGATCTAAAATTAGCCATCTCCTGATAAGCTTTGTCTGTTGGTATCCTCCTACAGCTTCCCAAATCCTCCTTCCCAGGAAAGATGGGTGGAGGCAGACTTAAGACCCAGCTGCTCAAGGTGACTTTGCTCATCAGTGCCAAGGCTCTGTCCCCTGGTGCATAGGCTGTGCTCCTCCCAGGACCTTGCATGGCAGTTTGAGGGACCCAGGGGAAATTCAGGCCCTGAGAGCCAGAGGGTTACTAGGAATCTGATAATGCTCAAAGAAAAGAAGATTTGGGGTTTTTTGTTTGTTTGTTTGTTTATTCCTTTCTCTTTTCATGAAGGCAATAGATTGGAAGTTTGGCAGTTTTCAAAACACATCACACACTTCGTGGAAGGGGAAAGTCCTAGGATGTTCACAGGGATCACAGTAGGAATGCTGTGAAGTTTCTTTTTCTTGGGAAGGTTTTGGCCTTGAAACAATAGTATTTCCGTCTTCTTGTGTCTGAAAGGAGGGCAGCCTTCTGTAGAAAGAACTCAGAATCCCTCAGCCCAGTGCTGCATGGACTCTGGTGGACCTCCAGCCAGATGAAACACGCAAAGCCAGTTCACAAAGCTTGCATTTAAACTGTGCAGGGTGCAGTCCCTCGTCTAGCTTGGTGTTTGCTGGCATCCTTCCAGCCTTTGGCTGCAGACATGCTGGGGGCAGGACTGAGCCGTCTTTGTGGTTCTTTTGGCCACAGGGAAGGTGGAGCTGCAGCGCGGGCTGCGGGCTGTGTACCGAGACATGCCTCTGATATGGACACCAGGCTACCTTGACAGAGCCCTTCAAGTGATGGAGAAGGTGGCCTCCGCTGCTGAAGACCTCAAGCTATGTAGAGAAGCGGTATGTTCCCGCACCCCCGCTCCGTCCAATGGAGCCAGCACTATTCATCTGGGTGGTTTGAATTTGTATCTGTTGTCTTTCCCTTTTCCCTGATGTCAGTGTTGGTATAGAGTTGGCATTTATTCTGTTAAAAAGGATGAAAAGAAACCACAGACATTTTCACTGTTGCCGACAAAAAGGCAATGGAAAATATGATTTTTGTTGATATTGTATAAGAGGAAAACTGTCCCCTTCCCTGACATTCAAACTCAGCTCAATAAATACCATCCTCTGCACCATCCCTTCCCCCCATCCAGAAGGAATTAAGGTGGCATAAGAGAAAGATTGAATAATTTTGGTGGATTTATCCCTGTAGTGTGGAGAGACTAGAGAGCAGTTTTCTTTATAATCCTTGGCTGTTGGTATTTGCCTCACAAGTGTAAGTACCCGCGTTCAGGTCCCCTGCAAAGGAAGTGCGTGCTGTAGCCCCAGCCATGGCAGGGTGGAAAGCAAAGAGACACAGACCGCTGTAAGCTCACTGGCTAGCTAGCCTAGACTACTCCCATTGCGGCAGGGTGGAAAGCAGAGACTCAGACCGCTGTAAGCTCACTGGCTAGCTAGCCTAGACTACTCCCATCGCAAACAAAAAAAAAAAAAAGCAGAGAATGCTCAGGAGTGACACTGCCTGAGATTGACTTGTGAAGTTCACGTGCAGACACAGGCACACCCACACAGTCTTCAGCAGCCACGTAGAACCTGGACACTGGAGAAGACTCGTCTTACTTCCTTCCCATTGGACTGTCCTGTGGTCCATGTGTGATGCTGAATCTATGTACAGGGGCCTGTCAACAGTTGAAGGTGTTCACTTCGCCTGTCTCAAAGAGTGTCCTCCTGCCCATACCAAAAGTTCATCTCTTAGTCACCTAAACCCCGACACTGAGTTCACCAGACATAGCCAGACTAGACAACACAGTGGCCTTACACAGAACTGTAGTGTCCCCTCCCAGCCCTGCTGCTCCATCCAGAGAGAGGCCCAGACACCGCCCAGACACCGTCTTATCAAGATGAAAGATTGCCTTGGAGCTACTCATCTGTGTGGACTTGGCCCTGAACACTGAGGCTCACCGTCATTCATTCTGGGTGCTGCCGTGGCATCTTACGCTGACCGTATCCTTCACATTCTTTGCCTGTCATTGCAACCAAGGATGCACACTTGTAAATGTCCAAGGATATACACTGTACCTGTGTGTGTTTGAAACTAGCTATATCCAATGTTGGTAATTGAAAACACAAAAGTATGCACAAATCCTTCACCAGGGATAACTCCTTCAAATTTCAGCCAACTTTGCATCCTTTTTATTCTCATTTTTAGGAATGTACTTAAATGTCAACAAGAATGTGATATATAAGAAGCAATAAAGCCTTGGGGTAGTGTTGGTGCTTTGTTCTACTTTGACGTTGATGGGGTTACTCAGTATCCAGGCAGGTGTTTTTGCAGGCCTTGCTGCTGTTTCTTACTGTCTCTGTAACCCAGCCAGCCCTGCGTGGGTTAGGGAGGTGTGCACGCAAGGGAGGTAGAGAAGTTAGAACAAACAAAAGGGACCTGCATGTTTTTGGTTGCTTGCTGTTTAAGTCACAGAACCCCCTCATTAAAATGAGTTTCCTGTGTGTATCTCTGGCCTTGGCCAGCGGCTTGTGTGGATTAGGCTGACCCCTAATTTATACTACTCTGTGAGCTGGGATGGGGGGGGGTGCCTATAGCCAGGGGCTTTTATGTGCATTCAGAGTAGCCTTTTGTTGTGTGTGGTCTGTGGTGGTCTTTTCTTTCCTTTTGTCCCAATTCCAGACTGACTCACTCCAAAGAAAGGCATGAAAGTGGAGGAGGTCCTTTAATGCCCATCAGACGTAATTCCTAGATTCCTACCCCGTTAATTAGAAACACACTTAATTTACCATTGTGCTGATTCACTCCTTAGCTCTTGTCTCTATGTCTGTAGCTTCTGTTTTGTACTGAGTCCCTCGTGCGGTCTGAGAGGACATTGCTAATGTATAAAAACATAATTGTTATGTTTCCTTCTCTTTCCTTGTTTGCGGCACCGGGGGTTGAACTCCACACCTCATGCATGTTCAGCCACTTCAGTAACCCCCGGTTATTCGGTGACCCCACTTACCCACAGCATTATCCCCAGTCTTGGGGGTCCCTTTCCCCCTTTCTTTGCCTCTGGCCTTCACAAAGTCAAGCCCATGACAAACGATGTCATGCTGACCCTCTTGTTCCCCACAGCTCAATGTGCTGGACGGAGTCCTGAAGGAGGTGATGTCTCCAGCAGACCAGGCCTCAGAGACACAGCCCCAGGAAGGTGAAGGCAGCTTGGGCTCGGCAAACCTGGTGGAGCAGCTAGACATTGAGGAACCAGAACATTCCAAGCTTCCCCAATACCTGGAGCGATTTAAGGTGATTCAGAGCAGAAACTGAGTCTTTCCCTGCATCAGTCACACACAAAGGCATCAAAAACTCTCATGGAGAATTGTGTCTGTATTGCTTCCCATAGGCTGTGGCCTTAAGAGAAACAGGTGGAATTTTTCTGAGTTTGTACTTGAGCTAACCAGCCCCAGTGATCCCTCCTGTGTGCCGACAGGTGGGAAGTGCCTTGCCTCCTCCTAACAATGGCCCGACCCCCACTCAGTGTGGAAGTATCTGGTCATTTCTCTACACCACACCAAATGTGCTGATTGGAAACGAGTTAGACACTCGGCATGTCTCCAGCGTGCAGTGCTAACATTCGGGCACCCTTTGTGGCTGGTGGCTGGCAGCCAGTAGAGACGGTGCCTGGCACACTGTGTGACGCGTAAACCCATTTACAGAACAGCACTGAGCACACAAGCTGGCTTTGAACTCTGTCCTGATGGAAGAAACTCCATGGTCCTCCTCCCTGCCTTGCTTCTTGTCTATTTAATATGAAAAGAAAAAGGCATTTTCTAATTATAAAGTCACTGTATGAGTGGAAAAATTTCCCACGCTGGCCAGCTGGACCTTTTCCCACTGGACAGGGAGAACTGTTGCTGGGTCCCTTACACTTAGGTCTGTGTCTTCTGAAGCAGCAATGGGCAGCAGTCTTTCCCCTGCATGATGGGATTCCTTTTTTTTTTTTTTTTTTAAGGCAGTTGTTTCCTGGTACTTCTGTAAAGGAAGACAATGCCCAGCTTTTCTCCTCTATAATCTGAACCTGAGAATAAAAAAAAAAAAAAAAAAAAAAATGTTCCCATCATACCCCGAGGACAGGACAAAGAAAAGTGGAGAATTTATACACAGTCCGCCTCTCTTGACTTTGCCTGCCTGCCTGTGCACAAAGCTTGAAGAAAACAAATGTCCTTCCCCTACAGATTCTCATTTCTCATTCACCGTGTTCTCTTGAAGAGTTCCCGGGTTTTGGCATCAAAGGATGGAAACTTGTGGCTTCCTTAGCTTCTCAGCTCATACTTCCACAGGACCCTCTATGAAAGCTCAGGAAAGGGCAGGAACAATGTTTGTGGCCTGTTAGCTGTAACCTTAGCTGTGCTGGACCTCACTGCATTTCCTTTATCCTCACGGGATGCCTGGGTGGGAGAGTCTCTGTTTACGTGACACAGCACGGAGCCTATCCATAACTGAAGATGGCTTTGGACAAAGCTCTGCTCCCTCACGGTTGAGATTTCCTCTTGGTGTCCCTGGCAATCCCTTTGGCTTCAGACTACCTGGAAAATGATGTCAGAAAGAAATCATTTTCCGTTTACATTTCCTTTTCTTCCTGTTACCTGATTTTCATTAGTCTGAGGTAATCTGTTTGGGGCTTAGTTCTCTGTAATTAGACCTGTCTGTTCCTTGGAGCTCATGGGCTATGCCTCCTTCCCCCATTCTTGCGGGCCAGACCTTATCTTGAACACTACGTCACCTCGGGTTGAGAACATGGACATCTGCCACTAAGCGGCTGCTGGGGCCCTAAAAGCCACTCTTGGTGATGTACATCTTGAAGCACTTAAGTAGATTAATGCTTTTAGTACTTCTCCGGGAATACTGTGCTGACCCAAACGGGCAGCCATCAGATGGAACTGTAGGCAGGCGGGAGGTAAGGCCGGTCTGCAGGGGAGCGCAGCAGGTGGAGGCCTGCCCTGGGCCAGCTGTTTAGCATTAGTGGGAAATGCTGAAATGAGTCCCATCTGTCTAAAGGAACCAAAGGTAGGGACTCAGCTGAAGTCACTGAAGTGAAGACAGGATGCGCTGGCTCTGGTTTCAGAAGTCTCTGCCATCTTGCTTGCATCCTAGAATTCTGTTACTTGGAGCTCACTGCTTGATTAGGAGCAAGCCCGGGAGGAAATGTGGATTCTACCTCTGCTGTCCTTGTGGTTTAAACAGGAAGTGACAAGGACGCAGGGAGTAGGAGCCTCGGAGTTGCACTCTGAGTCGAGGTGGTGTGATTACAGGTGCTGCTGAGCCAGAGAAACCAGCTCCAGGCAGCAGCACCTGGAGAAGAGGCCTGTGGCTTCCTACAAAGCATCTTTTCCTGCAAGCAGATCCCGTGGCTCTTTAGCGGACTACCTAATTGCGTCTCGTTTCCTCTTTTTCTCCCACCTGATGATCCCTTACCTTTTGATTTTTTTTTTTTTCCCTGTGTTTCCAACAGGCTTCTCTATCTAAACTGCAGGAGTTGGGCAGAGTTGAGTCAGAGAGTCTTTTGACCCTGACCACCCAGCTTGTTAAAGAAAAACTCCCAGCATGTGAGGCGGAGGACCTGGCCGCTTATGAGCAGAAGCTTCGTGAGTGGCAGCTGGAGCGGGTGCAGTTGATCCAGCGGGAACGCGAGCAGAGGGAGAGAGCGAAGCAAGAGTACCAGGCACTGAATGAAGTGAAGACTGCAGCCTAAAGGGCCTTAGGCCGGCCCTGCTCAAGGACTGTGTGTGCATTCAGCCCGGACAGACAGGGTGGGACTCGGCCTCTGCTGTCCTTCTCCTGCTTTTCCCACAAGCCATGCAATAGCCTGAAAACCACAGTGCTTCATGTCAAGACACTGACTGCCCATCCAGGTGTCAAAGGCCAGGGAACTCAGTGGCAGCTAACCCTCTTATGGGCTTTCAGGGCTCACAGTGGAGACTTGAGCACGGAGTGTGAAAATTCCCAATGTCTGGTGAGGGTAATAAAAGAAGCCATAGGTCTGCAGCATGGGTGATTTGAATGGTTTCCTGCCCCTGCCCAGGCACACAGGGCCACAAGCTGCATGCCCTGAGTCCTGTGCCCCACAGTCCCTGGCTAGGGCAGACATCCCAGTGATTGGGAGCTCACACTCCCCCCTCCCCCCCCCCTTTCCCACTACACCTTGCCCGCCTCTTCCCTCGGGGAGAAGGCCAGCACAGGTCTCCAGACCACAGGCTCGCTAGGTTCTGACTGCAGGAGCCCACGGGGACACTCACAGAATATGGGGGCTTTTGAGGAGAAACTTTGCCCCGGGTGTGAGGTATTTGGCTTCTTTGACGTATTGGAGTAGCTTTTCCTCATACATGGTCAGATATGTAAAATAGCCCTTTGGTATAGGTGCGTGCACACATGTACACACACAGACAACTTTAGAGCAAATGTTTCTATTAATGGAGAAGGGTAGGGTTTGAAGTGCAGTCTGTCAGAAGACGGGATGTTAATATTCCTGGAAGGCTCTCCGGGAGAGGGCCAGGGCTTTTGCCATCGAGAATTCCCTTTCTACATGCCATCCCTCTGATGTCATTGTCTAGGTCTGAAGTCTGATTTAAGTGCCCCTATCCTACCATTGATCAAGCTCTTCCCTCTGCTTCTGTATGTCAGCAAACTGCTTGACACTGACCAGCTGGAGGTTCATTGATTAGACCTGGGAAATTTGTCTTAGAGCCATATCAGTCCATGGTGCCTCAAGACCTTCAACCACAGCTAGTACCTCTCCCTGAGCTCCTGCACTGGTCCCCAAAAACACCTGATGAACTTACGGTCTGCATCACATACACTCTGTACACAATTTTTTATTCAGCTTTTCCTGTATGCAGCGTGTCACAATAAGAGCTATGAAATGGATGGTGATAAGTAATACAGTTCCTACCTTCAGATAACTTGGGTTCCAGGGGCTGGAGAGATGGCTTAGTGGTTAAGAGCCCTGGCTGCACTTCCAGAAGGTCAGTCTGCAATTCCCAGCACCTACATTGTGGCTCACAACCGTCTCTAACTCCAGTTACAGGGGATCTGATGCCCTCATCAGGCAGCCAGACACATGTACACAAACACGTGCAGGCACCCCTCATACACATAAACTAAAACCTGTTTCAGGCAGGTGGCACACTTTATCACAGCACTTGGGAGGCAGAGGCAGGCAGATCTCTGTGAGTTCAAGGCCAGGATAGGCTCCAAAGCTACACAGAGAAACCCTGTCTCGAAAAAACAAACAAACAAACAAAAGTGTTTCAGAAGCTGAAGGAGCTGGCTACCCCATCTGTCAACACACAGCTGCCAGGTGTCAGACACAGATGAAGTACCTCGGAGCCGCAAAAAGCCAGGCAGGCAGGGATATGGAAAGCACTAGTGAAGGGCTATACCTGCTTTGAGCTTTAGTTAGCTTCCCACATGCCACAAACTGTCATCTGTAAGTGGCCCTCATGAGCACCGTCTTGTGCAGAGTAAATGTGCTCAGAAAAAGAAGAAGAAGAAATTGACTGAAAAAAAAAATGAACAGTTTGGATTAAACCTGTGTGAGCCCATAACTTAGTACCTTACTAAAAAAGCAAAGCAAAAAAAAAAAAAAAAAAAAAAAAAAAAGACAAGAAAACACGAAGTACAAATGTTTCATGCCCTCTCCTTAGGCTTTGTGGGCACTAACCTTTGCTCTGTGTTCCATCTGCCTTTTACTGGGCCATGGATATCCCATATGGGGGTGGGAAGACTGAAGATGGTTAAGTGTGGATGTTTGATACATGTACCTATTCACAATGTGTGTGTGTGTGTGTGTGTGTGTGCGCGCGCATGCATGTGGGCGGGCGTGCATGCATGAGCCAGAAGTTGATGATGGGTGTCTTCCTCAATCATGCCTTTCTTCAATGGACATCAATTCAGCAAGTGAGATCCAGGATCCACGTCTACACGCGCACACACAGCACTGGGGTTATTTATAGATGTAGGTTAGATCCAGGATCCATGTCTAACATACACACACAGAGAGAGAGAGAGAGAGAGAGAGAGCGCACTGGGGTTATTTATAGATACAGGTTAGATCCAGGATCCATGTGTAACACACACACACATACACAGAGCACTGGGGTTATTTATAGATGCAGGTTGTATTGTGATTTGGATTGTAATTCAAGTCCTCATGTTTACACAGCAAGCTCTCTACCCATTGCACCATTAGGTCAGCCTGGGGCTGTAGATTTCATGAGAGATCACCAATGGCTTTGAAAAGGAACAGAGTACACCTCCTTTTCATGCTGACTGAAAACCTCCAGCCCTGACAGCCTCCTGGTTTCGCTTCAATACTGACAACTTACCATGCTTTTGTTTTGTTTTAAGGGCAGCTGTATGATGCCCTTTGGGGAACCCTTAACCACTACAGAAAATAAGTATATGTAAATGGCTGCTGAGGTGGGAACAAGGGATTACAACTGGGTATAAGGAATATTTTTAGAAGCCCACGTCGTTTGGGTCATTGAATGGATGGAGTCAGAAGTTTGGGGGGAGCAGGTTCCCACCTGTGTAAGGACAAAGGGTGTAGAAATAGGCCTAGCAGAGAAGCACCGCACGTCCTGCCTCTAGAGATGCTTGAGGCTCTCTAACCAATGCTGGTAAACTGGGGTTAGGACTGTTCCTACTGTGAGCTCTGAGCCACCACTTAAGGCCCTCTCCTGCTACATTCTGATGACCTTGAGTGTGGAATGTGGCCCTCTGCTGCTTCCTGTGACGTCACTCTAGCAAGCCCATTTTCCTGAGACTTAAACCTGTAGCTCCTGCTGTACCGGGAGCAAATCAGGTGTTTCAGCTTTGTTCTATATCTGCCTTCCCTATCCCTGGGCTCTTCTGTTAGTAAGACAGAGTCTTGGTATGTAGCCCAGGCTAGCCTCTGTCTCCTAACACTGAGATTGCAGCTGTGTGCCCCGGAGAAGTGGGCACCATTTGGAACCAAATGAAGCCAGTGAAGGAAATATTCATTTTGATTCCTCCATGCCTGGCTCCCCACCGCCACAGGATTGTTGCGATTGAACCCGGGAGCCCACCCTCATTCCTCTAGGTTTTGTGAGCCATCCCCAGGGCGCGTGTGCAGCACCCCTGTCCCTGTCCGTTTTATGAGTTCTCAACTCAGACTTTAAACTCCATGAAGATAGGAACTCTTATCTTCTCAATCACTGAATCCATAGAATAAACAGTCCTTACCAGGAGGGAAGCACTTATATTAACTGAGTGTAAGTTCCTCTAAGGTTCAAAGTCTGAGGACTGAGCTGCATTACTCTTCTAAATGCTCTGTGTGTGTGTGTGTGTGTGTGTGTGTGTGTGTGTTTGTGTACAGACAAAGGTGAGGTCTATCCACAAGAAATATCTGCAAGTAATTCAGACCAAGTGAAATTTGGTCGGGTAAAGGTTTTATGGGGAGGGAGAGCACATCCTGTGACACATTATCACTGGTGACTTGTATCCTACTTATCTGCTTTGCTGCCTCCAAGCAGACAACTAGGAGGTGAAGAAAAAAGCTAGCTAGCATTTGTTGATCGTTCCTAGCCCAATGGCATATTAAACCTTTTATATTTATTTTCATATTTAATCCATCGTTGCAGCCATGCTTCACACACATGAAAACCGAGTCTTAGAAAAGTGGTGAAGCTCAATGGGCTGGAGAGACGTGGCTCAGACGTGGCAGATGATTGTCTTGGAATATTCCCCACACACGCAACCTCCCACACAAAAGCAGGAGAAATGACAAAGACTCCATTGGAGTGGTCCCGAGAAGGCAGGTGAAGGGGGGAGGCACTCATGGGGGGAAGAAGGAAAACTGGCTGGGGGTTTGCACAGTTAGGTGGGAGTAGGGCAGGCTCACTCCTGCTGAGGACCCTCTAAGAGCTGTCTAGTGCACATCCCAACAGCCTCCACCAAGGGCCATGGCACCGAAAATTATAACGCTTGTAAAACCCCATTTTTTAAACGAGGACCATGAGGAGGGCTTTCCAACAGTGACATTTGGAAGCTTGCCTTGGAGTCTATTTCTTGTCTCAAAAGTAACCTTTCCTTTGCTTATGGCCCTGAAGATGCTATTCCATGCACAAAAATGAAGACGCTTTTTAAAAAAAAAATGCTGTGGAATAATCCTGTACACTGTGAATATGTATTTCTCTCAGTGGTTAACAATAGAGCTGATTGGCCAATAGCAAGACAGGATAAAGTTAAGGTGGGACAATCAGACTGAGGACTCAGAAAAGGGTGGGGTTAGGAGAGATGCCAGTGAGCCATCCAAGAAGCAAGATGCGGAGGACAGGTAAAGCCACGTCGTAATACATAGATTAATAGAACTGGGTTAGTTTTAAATGAAAGAGTTAGTTAGTGATTGAGCTATCGCCGGAGCATTTACGATTAACATAAGACTGGTAATTTGGGAAGCGGCCATACGGTATTTTGGAATAGGTGGGAGAGAAATGTCCATTTACAAAAATGAGTGCCAATTAGTGTCCCTTAAACCATGTGAATAAATATTTTTAAATATTTGTGTAAAGCAATATTATTACTTAGTCTGTGTGCTTATTAAGATTGAGTACACACAACAGATTCCAGATCTGTTCTTGACGTGTTCAGAAGATGGGGAGTTTATTCTTGTCACACCCATTGAAAAATAAATCCCATTATGGGCTTTAAATGTCAGACCAAGGACTATGGAGAAAAAAAAATGACATGTGATTTATAAACAGTCTTCTGATTACCTAATGGTATAAAAGTATTTTTTAAATTATTATTTCTTCACCTCCAGAGTTCAAAATACTAATCCTAAAATACCCTCAGAAACTGTCTACCAGGTGACATCTCCCTCCTCCATCACGCTGGGGTGTTTCCCAGGCAGCAGTCATCCAATGCCAACGTGATCACAAAACTCATATTCAGAAGCCTCCTCCTTGTGGGCACAAAGTCCCTCCTCTCCTGAGCTATTAATTCAACTATGAAAGACACCAAAAGTAAGCTGCAAAGATCAGTTTGGGTCTGTCTCAGCTGATCACCGGTAGCCAGGGAGCCCACCATGAACCACCTGATCATGGCCATGGCAGCAAAGGCCAGGTAACAAGGACGCCAAAGATGTCTCAGCACACCAGTGAACTTTTGCCACTTTGTATTTTATTGTGGAACTGAGTTTCTGGGGGTTTTTTGTTGTTTTTGTCTTTTTTTTTTTTTTTTCCTTTACATCAAATATCCTCAATGGAAGAGGGGATATTGCACACAAATATCATAAAAGCACTACATATTACTCTCACTGGAAACTAATTTTTCTACATTAGATATGACTGGATAGGATGGAAGTGATGCAGGATTATAAGACATAATACCATACACAGCTGCAGACCGACACAAACACCATTCAGAACAAGAGAGAGGAATGAGCTGCCTCGCCGCCGGCTCCAGACTGTCCGCTGCCTGTGGCGCAGACTCGGAACCATCGCTGGGGCGGGGCCGCTGAGCCGAGCCGCTTCTCCAGGGCTCCTGTTTGCAGGAGCTCCACTCTGCGGAGAATGGATTCTTAGCTGTTGTTTCCCTTTTCAGTTTTGATGCTGCCTTTGAAATGAATTCATGAAGTCACAGTTTTGTTTTGAAATAGTGAATAGCTTGAACACCAGGTGAAGAAAATCTAATTGCTATCAAAGCGTTGCTCATCCCTAGGCTGCTTTTGATGTGTTGTTCAGCTGGTTAAATGATAAAAGCTTACAGTTCCTTTCACATGGAAACAGAATCTTTTCTCCTAAATATGAAGTACAAAAGGAAAAAAGAAAGAAAAGTCATTATCCCAACTCACAAATCCCATTGCCAAGCAGGAACCTCTTGTGACAGAAGAGGCAGGAAAAGCAACTCCAGAATCGTAGCGCCGCTCCGCTCCCAGGAGCTGAGTTTGGTAACAGAAATGGAAGGTGGTAAAATTTCCATTAGCAAATAATTAAATTTATAAAATAAGTATTAGGAAGCTCCTAAATTTCATAAGCTACTGGAAACACTTAAAACATCCATATGCTCTGGGGAAACCATTCACTATGATATGTGACGTTAAGAAAAAATTTTTTCTTTTGAATTCCATGGGAAATGGTGTTTGGGGTGAGGGGTCGGTCACTGTATCCAGTCCCACCACAAGACTGAGAAAGCATGCATGGGAATTGGGGTTTGGAAAGAGGACAGAATTGGTTAAAATTGGAATGGAGGATTATCTCTAAGATTTAGTCTCTGTGGAATTTTGTTTACAAACACTACCAAAAAGGTCATGATCGGGGGAGTGCTAGCTCAATAGAATCCCATCATTTAAAGAGGGTGGAAATCCCTTCCACTCAAATATTCAATCTATACAATCAGATTAAGAATCATATGCACAAATCTTCTAGAAGTCTGTATCGGCTTTTTAGCTCTCACCACAAATATACATGGTCCATTGTGATGGCTACTTCTAAACTGATTGTGTATGTATGGAACTAGCAAAATCAGATTAGCCACGCAAGTAGGAGAGGTGCCTGGGACATCAGGAATCACCTGTAAAGCAAATGTAGTTCACCCTGTGTCCTCGGCTCCATGGCCATCACTGAGAACAGGGGGTGCAGGAGGGTGCTGCCAGATTGTGCAGGAAATCAGAGCCAGTGGATTGATGACAGTTTTGAAAAGTATTGTCCCCATTCAATAACAAGTGTGGGGTGGAGTGGTTGTAACCGAAGGCTGGCTATGGCTCCTTTTGGATATTTGTAGCTTTAAAATAAAACAATATACAGGCTAAATAAATTTAATTTGGGAAACGGGAAAGTAACTCCATCTTCTATGAAAGAAAAGTCAACCAGCAATCTGGATTTGGCAAGAGGGCTACAGATTGCTTCTTTTCTCATGCTTTATGCGGACCAACCCAACAGCTACCACTAATTAACTATATTCAGCTTGTCTCATGAAGTGCGAAGCAAATGAGTTTATAGTCAATGGAGTCTGTTCTCATCACAACGACTTTTCCATCATATACGACATTCCTGTACCTTTAATGTGTTACTTTTACGGGTTCGAAAGAAATAGGGTAATAAATAAAAACTGCATTCCTAGAGACGCCTAACAAAAATAGAATATTAATTTTCTTTAAAAAATTAAACATTTGGGAAATGTGATTCACAGCATTGAGGAGACTGCCTGGGTCCTCAGTGAGGGGACCCTGGAGAAGCACTGTTTAAACCCTCAGAGGAAATAGCAGTGCGAAACATACACTTCACAGACGAAAATAACTAAAATGTAAATTCTGAAATAAATAACTAACATAGAAAATAAAATGAGGTCATTGTTCACTACTCTGTAGATCTTAAGAGTCTGCAGGAAATGTAGTGTGACAGAGCACAGCACAGTTGTCACTGAGAAGTGTGCCACCTCTGAACCCCGGCACGTGGATCAGCCACTTGAGACTTGTGATCTGGCTTCACAGGTTCGTGGTTCAGGGATGACAGCGATGGACATCATGTCTGAACTCTACGTGGTGAACGGAGGAGTTGGAAATTCATTTGTTTTCAACCTATTATCTCTTTCATGTAATGTTTTCCAGAAAAGAGAGCCCCCAGCCAATTGGTGCCGGGGTTCTCCTGGACTTGGCTCTTTTAACCTCATGGTGGACGATCTTGAAAGGAGGGGACAGCTCTGGGTGGTGATGCACTTACAGCCCCAAACAACAGCCTATCCTGCTACCCACCCACTCTCAAACAGCACGTACTCAGACTTTCAGGACATGAGAGTCAAGGGGTGGGAGGTATCACTATTTCTAGTAGTTACAGGTTTTTCAGAAATATTACGACTTCAATATCAGACTTCGAATCTTGCCAGAACCTCAAAAAAAAAAAAAAAAAAAAAAAAAAAAAAAAAAAAACCCTTCAAGTTTTGTGTTATAAAACTCTTAAAATAAAAAAGACCATCATCACTTGACATTTTTCTTTGCATTTTCCTGTAAATGAAAACATTTGTTAAAAAGTTCATCTATGAAAAGTTCTTATGTTTCTAAAAAAAAAAAATCTTCTGTACATGTGTTCCCATAATGGAGTTGAAATTAATGGGAAATTAAAATAGCCAATGCAAGACAAAGGAAGGCAAATACTGTACACTTGCTGGGAACCTCTCCCACCGTGAGATTCACTGCTTTCCCAGTTCTGGTCATAGAAGCCATTGCAATCTGGAAGTGGTTAAAGAAGCTATGAAAGGCGCAACGTGTTTGGCCGAGGGGCCACAGGCGCATCAGGAGCGGTAGTCAACAAGCATGACTCAGCACTAAAATGTTGGACCAATCACATGAGCTTCTAGTACCTTCCCTCCCCACACGCTCCTTTACCTGGAGTATCTACAATCCTACATGGATGTTTTAAAAACTTGCTGTCTCACATTAAAAAATAAGTGCATCAAGTGTCTTTGTACATTCAAGTCACTTCCTAAGGCAAAATGTCTCCCATATGGACTCCCAACTGCTTTGGTATTTGCTTCAGTTAATTGGGGTGGACGTGGCTGTTTCTGCATGCAGGTTGACTTGGTGTGGACTAAGTGGGTGGACAGATGCTGGGAGCATGCCTTAGATCAACCTACTCAGTGTCTGAAAAGTCAGAGAGTTCTGAATGGGGCTCAAGCCAGTCGCATGTCCAGTCTACACTTGCTACATTATGCCGCGTGCAGCCTTTATAGTAAAGGCGTTTAATTAAGGCGTGAAAAAAAAAATCTCATGCCCTCATAACAGGCTTCGCTCTTTTAGGAGATTAAGACTCTTTCAGATGACTCTGATGAAAATGGAAAACTCCACCAGTGTAGACCACACAACAAGCTGCTGTCAGAGAAAATGCAGACCTAGTTGCTGGTGTCTTCTGAATACCCCATCCTGCCCACTCTTTCTCCCTGGGCATCACTTCAGAACTCTCCACCATTACATCTCCCAATGGCGTTCTTTTCCTTTCCCATTCTTTCTCTCTCGTTCTCTCTCTCCTGCATCCTCTTTGTCCCTCGCTCCCCGCTCTCTCCCTCCCCTCCCATTGCCTCTCTTTCTCTCTCTCTCTCTTTCTCTCTCTAAGACAAATGCCAATACCTAGCAGAAGTCAGTTGGGTGCGCGAGTGCATGGCTTCCAAATGTTCAGCAGAGATGAACAGGGGTAGGTAATTTTGCAGTAACTTGAATTCTAGTGTGGGAACGTGGTTACTTCCCTTAGCGATCAGCAAAAATTGAGAAATATTAGTGACTTGCATCACCATGACACAGTATAGCATTTGGCAGGTAATTGTTCAGTGACTTAATTAGATGAATGGACATTTTAGAAAAGGTAGTTTCAAATTCAAGAATTTCTGGAAACAAAGTTCAAATCCTGTGGTGTGGCTGGCCGCGGTTTCTACAGTTCTATCTTGCATGCAGGGAATGACTCATCTTGCATGACCACCGTACTGCTGCTTGCTAAAACCATGATGTTGAGGTCTTGCTGCTTCTCATGGGTCTCCTGGTACCATTCCCTCATCACCTCTGAGTCGTGTGTTGGGATCAGAGTCACCTACAGAGGGAGAGAAAAGGAGATATTGAGACATTTAACCGGCATAGATGGATGCTGGAAGTAAAAACAGAACAATGTATCAGTTGGATCACTAGAAGAAGGAGACAAAAGAAAAACATTGTTTTCTCAAAAAAATGCAAATGAAGTTTACAACTGATATTTTCCAGGAACCATAACCAAGCTGTAAAAAACAAAAAGGTTTTTTTTTTTTTTTCCATTGAGGGGAGGGGTTGGAAACTAGAATCTAAATCAGCTAATCAGCTAGGGACTTGTCAGTTCATTCATCTAAATTATATTGTTGACTTTTCAATACTGGAGTATTAAGAAGTGTTTGGATTAGGTACCACTTCTCATATTTAGACTATATTCCATATTTAACACAAAAAGTTTTAGTTATTGCAGCCCAGAACCTCAGAAGCCCACTACTGGGCCTGAAAACTGTGTTATACAGGAGTGGGGTGCTGACTGGTACTTCTCATGTGAATACTATGGAAATATTATAAATTAATCTTATTTAAGATGCGAACATGGGTTACTCGGTAATTACATGCAAAAAAAAAAAAAAAAAAAAAAAAAAACCCTCCACAAATCAGATAACCAGTGATCACAGTCCAATAGAGAGACACAGAGACTGGATGGTTCATGGCCAGACCTGAGGGTCTGGAGTTGAATAAACAATGCCACCACTCTGGAATTCCACCTGGAGACCTGATCCCCATGTCCCTAGCCCAATGGCCATGTTCCCAGTTCTAGTCTACTGGGGAAACACAAATGAATGAGTAGAAACAATTCATTAGCAGCAATTCCACAGACACAGGCCAACTTTGATTCACACGTACAACACTCAGCATGCTGGAGGAACAGAAATCTGTTTCAGGTCATTTTACAGATGCGTGAACTCTGACTTCAGTAAGGTAGTTCTCCACTGCCACCAGAGGGAACCTATCAAGAATTTTACTTTGGGATAGGCATGGCAGCATACGCCTTTAATCCCAGCACTAGAGAGACAAAGTCAGTCGGATCTCGGTGGGTTCAAGGCCAGCCTGGTTTACAAATAGAGTTCCAGGACAGCTGGAACTGCTACACAGAGAAACCCTATCTCGAAAGAAAACTAAACAAAGATTCCACTTTGGCCTGTCTTCTGTATGTTGGACTGTGTGCAGCATGTTTCACATGCAACACTCGGGAGGCACCATGCGTGGATCTGCAATCACACAGATTCCCTTTAAACATGGTTCTGTCTCTGCCTCTAGGCCTAGCTCAGATGCAGCTCGGTGGATTTGTCCCCTTACCTGCATGTTGCTTCCCCACTGAGCCTTCCCTTCCAACAAGGCATCCAGGACAGCCCGGCTGGGCTCCTCAGCAGCAGGGTCATTCCCACTCACCACGTAGTAAGATGACCTCACTCTCTTGAAAAATTCCACATCAACATTCTTACTATTGCTGTGGTTGGGAATGTAGCACAGATCCAAATACACAGGAAGGCCTGGAGGCACGGGGGATGACTTGGCCGTCTTAGTGGCTCCTGGTCCTTTGGAAACAAAGACAAAGCAAGTGTCATAGCAGTGTGAAGACACCGATACACCCACTTGTCCCCAGCTGGGTCCTCTGGGACATGGAAAGGCGGGTAATGTTACTGTTGTACAGGTCATCAAACACTGGGAATCTGAGAAAATAAACCACCGTTGTTTATCACCTCAATAAGAAAAATTGAGGAAGAGTTGGCTTCCCTTCGCAGACAACTCATTAGGAAGGAAAACATTCTCAGGGCGTTTCAAAAGAAGGAATGCAATAGTAAGCCTCTCCACCCAAGGATCTATTGATGTCCATTTTAAATTGGAAAGCACTATATGATGGTGGCTTAAACCATGGGTCCTGATGACATATGGATTAAACAACTAAACATGGAAGGATCAAGAATAATTTTTTTCTACAGTAAGAGATTTCTGGTCACCAATGACCAAAAATTAATTGAAAATCAGATGTGTAATGAATGCACGAGGTCTCTGGCAGTGCTTGCCAGCATGGCTCACACAACTTATTTACTTGTAGCCTTGGACGAAAGCATGCCCACTGTGGGATGTGCTTGCCGTCATACTGTGTGATGGCAAAGGACAGTGTACAAAACACACTGCTCTTGGAGAAGCATAATAGTTTAATTATAGAAAGACAGACTTTGCATAGTTTTGTATCATCACCTCAACGTGCAAGTATCAAATGAGTGTATTTTAGATTGATTTGTGCTAGAATGCTTAGATTTAAAAATATAACACAGCTATTTGAATTAATGGCCTAAGCTTCAGGGAAAAAAAATTGTTCAACAAGTTTTGGGTTGGAGCTGGGAAATAATTTCCAAAAATTTCTGAAATGGCCCTAAACATAGTTCTGCCATTCTCTACTACATATTTATGTGAGGGAATACTCTCAGGGTTGATGATGAGAAAATAACAAATATTGGTCAAGTCGGAAAGATGATGATCATCCTCTCCTTTGCACAGTATCAAGTACTCAGCTAGAATTTAATACTTCATCGAAAAAAGGGAAAAGTGCCCTCACTTGACCAGTAAACAGATTTTCATTTTTAATAAATACTATATATTATATATTACTATATATACATACATATTTATATATATATTAAAGAATTGGCTTAAAATAAACTTCTAAATGAGTTTGTATCAATAAATGCTTGATTTGCATACCTATTTATATGCCTGGACACCTAGGGTTATATAAAAATTTATTTTATATACAAAGGAAAAAGAAAAAGGAAGAAGTTTAAGAAGCCCTAATTAATAAACATTTTAAAAATCCACAGGAAGCATTTGTATTTGGCAAACTATAGTTTAATAATCATTTTTAGGGTCTCTGAAAAGTAATTTTACCCACAGTTCACCGGGATTCCCTAACAGTTGATCCAGGAAGTAGTTCAGACCTCAACCCCATCTGATTCATAGTGTCCTTAGCGCCTCCAACTTATCCCGTAAATGGATGAGCTAGCCCACTCTCCTTAGAAAATGGAAATGTCTCTCCCTAGACAGGGTTGCACACCAACCTTTGGCAAAGGAAGGATCTGTCTGGGGAAACACCTGGCAGCCAAAATTCCCAGCCTAAATCAGAGAGAGCTGGGAAAAGCCAAGATTTGATGGTCCCCCAAGTGTCTGGGCGCTGCTGTTTGGTTTAGTATTCTGGACACACTAGTGGAAGGAAGGAGCAGCCTGGATCGGCCACCCGCAGTCTGCCACATAGTCAGAACCGTCTCAGATACTTAGTGACATGACACTCATCTTGCAGAGTCTGACCTAACTGTCACAGGGCCTGGACATGCCCCATGATTCAAATGGTAATGGATTTGAGGACACCGATGCAAAGCCATTCAAAACAGCTAGATTCTAAATGCCAATCTATTCTTGTGCGTGCATACGTGCTTGCGTATGTGTGTGTGGTAGAGACGGAGAGACTGAGATGAAAACCCTCAAAATACCCATTTGAGGACTCCCTAAGGAATTTTGACTTATAAGCCAGCTGTGGTGGCACACGCCTATAATCACAGAACTTGGGAAGTGGCAAGAGACGGGTCAGATGTTTGTAGTCACCCTCTACTGCATAACAAGCAGCATGTCTACACTTCTCCCTTGAACATAAAAATCTTTATCACTAACAAGTGAGTGTTTTGCACAGATGTACCAATCATCAAAGCTATCAAATGTTTACCCGGGTTTGTTTTCAAAGTCAATTTATGATTCATTTTGCCTCTCTTAGAAATCTGAGTGTGAATGGGTTCAGGGGCACATGCATGCCAGAATACATGTGGGGATCAGAGGGGACAGCTTTCCACATTGGCATCCAGAGACTGAACTCAGGTCATTAAGTTTGGGCCATCTCAACAGCACTCTTTAAACGTTAAAAAAAAAAAAAAAAAAAAAAAAAAAAATTAGTTGTATGAGCTAGTATTTTGACAAATTTTTTTCTACTAGGTCCTATTTAGATGAATTCCATGCTTTCTCCTGGGTTTAATCTGATTGTGAAAAAATTCAGTTTGTTTTCCGTGTGAATTGTAGAAAGGCCAAGCCTGACCAAATCTGATGTCCACATAAAATAAAAACCTGAGGCTGTAACTAACATGTCCTAAAGGCACTGGATTTGAAAGCCCCAGAAGTTGGTCTCTGGGGCTTTCCCTCATAGGTCAAGGAAATGCTTAAATAAAGTTTTTGCTTTACACATTTGGATAAATGCATATTATATTGTGATCAAAGACCTCGGGGCAATTATGTGACACAGCAAAATGTTATTACTATAAATGACTAAAGCAACAGGATGAAATCGTGTTGCCCAGGAGCCATTCCATCAAAACGCTACTCATACTGGTCCTGGTGGCGCACTCCTGTGATCCCAGAACAGGAGGTTGAGGCAGAGGTATCACCAGACCAAAAACCAGCCTGCAGTATAAGGCTAGAACCTGTCTCACAAAATGGGAGCCTCAAATCACTGCTAAGAAATGGAGGATGTGTGTATCGGTGGCAAACTGGGAGCTCTCAGCTCCTGTTGAGTTAAATTCCAGTCTGGAAAAGCAGTGTGTTAGAGCGACCATGAGTAAGAAGGGAGAAGGGACAGCCTTTAATGTGTCCTTCTCTTTGTACTAGACTCTAGTGGTCAACAGGAATTTCACTGTTCATGAGCAGGTAAGAATACACGGCAGATGCTTAAATGGGCACAGACTGCCCAAATGATAGCTTTAACAACAAGTATAAATTTTTATAATTTTACATTTCAAATTTTTCAGGAGAAATAAATATTGTGCCTAGAATGAAAATTCCAAGTTTGCTAGAGAAACCCTGGTTTGCTATATAGGCCTTTGGGAGCTCCTGGCCTATCACCTCAATGTGATTTTTAGGGCAAATATGCCTGAAGTCTCCCTGAACAGCCTGAGACATATTCTTACTTCTGAAGGTTTGCAACAGGCCTGCAGGTACATCCAGAACGACACTAACCCAGCAATCCCACTTAGTGGATTCCAGCAGCATTGGGCCTTATACTCCGTTATCTCTAACCCTGGGCCAAGAGGAGTACCTTTAGGCAGAAGAGGAAGGCAGAGGGAAGGTAAAACATCAGTCCCTGCTCCCTAGTCTTCCCAGCAAAAACCCTAACAGTGGTTTCAAGCTTCAAGCGCAAATGCTCTGTAAAGGGACACCTACCTGCTGTTGCGGATTTCGCTGACTTGGACGCAGAAGCATTTGCAGCATTCTTAGTCTCCTTGTCTTTCTCTTCCCCTCGTGTGGCTTTGACCTCGGGAGTGGTGGTGATCTTAGTAGCCTTTTCCACAGATTCTTTCTTCTTGGGAGAAGCCACTCTGGACACCTTGTCAGAGGATTCCTTCAAGGCTCCTGGTTTAGGAGACGCTGCCAAGGGCTTAGACTTCCCATCGGCCTTCTTCACAGGAGAAGAGGACTTGGTCTTCGTGCCTGGTTTCTTGGTCTTGGTCTTCTCTTTCAGGTCCTTCTTCAGAGCTTTGCCTAGATTCTGCTCAATGGCCAAGGCCTCCGGGTCCACCATGGACACATCAGGGTGGCGAGGAGAAGGACTTCGGTCTTGCATGGGGGCGGGAGGTGGATCCATGTGCTTGTATGTGACAGTTTTGTCAGTGGGGATGGTCTCTGACTCATCTTCAGAGTCGATGTTGGCATCAGCTGTAATGGATGGGCACTCTTCCGTCTCCGGGGGGACATCAGAGTCAGTCTGGGATGGGGCTGACTCACTGACTGAGGTGGGAGGAGTCTCGTCGCATTGCCGTCCCTGTTGCTTTCCTCCTGAAGGGGGCGGGGCTCCCCCGGACTGGGTGAGGGGCTTCTCAGAATCTTCAGTGGACTCTTCGCTGGCAAACCACTCGAGAGGATTTGGATTAATGAAGGAAGGCGAGAGCTCCGTCTTGGGATGTTTGTATTCACAGGAGGACACAAGACATAAATCAACATCCTGGCGCGCCTCTGAGGGGGACTTCTTTTCCGTAGTGTAGCATCGTTCTGAGGTCTCATAGGAGTATGTGGATGCCTGCGGGGTCTTGGTGATCTTCTCCATGGTCTCATAACAGTATGTGGCGGCATCTGGACTCCGTGTTGTTTTTGTAGATGTCTCGTAGGAATAGCTCTCGGACTCAGGGAAGCTGCTAATTTTCTCCGTGGTTTCATAGGAGTAGCTACAGTCTGCAAGTGTGTGGCCACCATCCTCAGAGTCATCATAGCCATTGCTAATGTCATCCAGGAGCCTTCTGGATACCTCAGTCTTTTCATAGGTGTGGCCACTCACTGCGGGGGTGCGCGTTGTCTTCTTGCTGATCTCATACGAATACCCTCCTTCTTCGGGGGTCCTTGTGGTTTCCTCAGTAATGTCACAGGCGTAGCCATCTTCTTGGGACTTGGTGGTCTTCTCAATGGTCTCATAGGAGTATCCACTGTCACAGGGGGATTTTATGGTTCTCTCCGTCTTCTCATAGTAGTAGCCACCCATGTCAGGGGTCCGGGAGGTTTTCCCATATGATTCATAGTCATAATCTTCTTCATCTGGGGACCCAGTGGTCTTCTCAGGCTTTTGATAGGCATAGTTAAAGTCGCCGGGTGTCTTTCCTCCACTCTCCTTCTCCACACTAGATGTGGTCAAGTCTCTGTTCAAGGCCAGATGATGCTGCATGGTATCAAACAACATGGAGGCACGGAAGCCATGGGGCTCTGCAGATGCGGCATCCATCGGTGGGGGAGAGGTCTGTCGACCTGCTGCATTCTCTGTGGTTGCAGAGGTAGAATCTGAAAAGCCAGGCGAATATAAAGGCGAGGACTCTCGTGGGGTGAGTGGAGAAATATCGGACTTTGGAGAGAGCTTCTCTCCATCCAGACTTTGCACTTTCTCGGAGGTGAGTGAGGCATATAAGGACATATCTCTGGGAGGAACAACATCAGATAGAGTGTCTTCCTGGAGAGGAGAGGCTATCTGAGAAGGGGTGTGAGCAGAAGAGGTGGATGGGGAAGCCTCCACCTGAGACACAGAGATGAGCTCAGACAGATCATTATCTTGGGTGTAGGATGGTTCCTCCATTGGTGGAATCTTATGTGACAAACTGGAATCCTGGATATCAGAAGGACTATAGTCCACTTCAGTTGGCCCATTTTCGGTGATGTGAAGCATACTTGCACCCATCGTAGGGTGATCAGGAGACTGTCGACTAAAGTCCATAGCAAGGGAGTGCTCAGGGGATTCCTGGCCAAATTCAATAGACATCGAAGACTGTTCAGATCGGTGGTCTTGAACTGGTGTCCTGGACTTGGCCGTCTTAGGGGAGAAGTCTGGAGGAGAGATGGACATTGGTCTTGGGCACTCTTCTTTAGATGGAGACATTTCTGTTTCCTGGAAAGTTGTAGGTGTCTGCACAACAGATACTGAAAGGGAGTCGTCTACCTCTGTGGAGTGCGGGGAGCCCACTTCAGCATGCAGAGAAGGAGACACATCATCTGTGGTTGGTTCTGGAAACGAGCTTGTGGCCACAGAGGCAGTGGAGACTGAGGCCACGCCCTCCATGTGAGAATAAGTGTCTTCTGCCACACCCTCATCCACAGGAGTGGCTGATTTGTCTGAGACAGTGCCTTCTGAAATGGACATCTTGGTGTCTTCTTTGAAGGAGCCAAACTGACTGACATCTATTTGTGTTGGCGATACATCTCCTCCCAATTTTCTTTCATCCAAAGCCAGAGCTGACTGAGAGCTCATGATTTCAACATCATTGATTTTCTTTTCCGGAACAAAGTCTTCCTTTATTGGTATGAAGCCTGTGCCTTCCCCTTCCTGTTCATCTTGGTAAAGGCCAGTGGAAGTCACCTCAGATACTGGGCTTTCTTTGCCTGGGAAGCCTTGCTTTCCATTCTTTCCTTCAAAGGGGCTCTCGGTACCTCTGCCAAGAGTCTTGCCGTCAGCACTGAGAAAGTCTTCATAGGCAGACTCAGATCCGATAAGAGGAGGGCTGCGTAGAGGAGACAGAACTTTCTCAATGGGAGACTCTGAGTCAGGCACAGGCTCATCCATGGGGCTAATGGAAGCTCTCTCGTTCTCATCTTTGGCGTCCTCGCTGAGTTCAAAACTCACTGGAACTGCCTGTGGTTGTTCAGTAGCTTCTGTAGGTAGGTGACTGGCCTTCTCATCAGTGGGAGATTGGTAGTAAGGTGTGTGGCCAGCACTGCCAGTCACAGACTGAGATGGTGACGCTACTTCCAGGGTCTTCTCCTCAGGACTGGCACAATGTTCTTCAACTATTGCTTGGGTCACTCCAGGAGACACTGATGTCACTTCTGCCTCTGCAGAGACTTTAATCTCATTGGGTGTCAGAGAGAAATTCACGCTACGTTCACCCAGGGGAGTCTTCTCTATGGGTGATGGTGGGGAAGGACTCAGGGATGGACTCTTGGTTGGGCTAAGTCTCTCATCTGGAACATCTTTGATGTCCAATACAGCACTGGCTCTCACTTCTTTCTCTTCTGAGCAGTAAGCATCACGCAGAGCAGACTTACTGAATTTGTCTTCTTCCATGGAGGAAGGTGGGGATATGGTGGAAGCAGAAGCATTGTAGTCCTTGCCATCCGTGGCATCTGTTTTTGACCCTTCCGACAAGCCATTGAATGATGCAACAACGGGTTTGGAGTATTCCTGAGAATACAGTGAAGACTCATATTTGGTAATGTTTACGAACTCCTGAGATGGGGACTCCGTTTCCTCATTGTTGGTCTCATCACTCATCACATCACGAGGAGTAGACATGTCATCCATGGGAGTAGGCTCACTAGAGATCTCAATGGTAGACTGAGTATATCCAGAGGTAGCAGTGAATTCCTCGGGCTGGTCTTCTCGATTCTCCTCATCAGACGCGGTGGCCTCACTCTCGGAGCCTCCAGGTAGAGTCTCATCGTGAATTGAAGATGCAGGTTCTCGGCCAGGAGACTGGGCTCCGGGTTGCTTGGTTGGTGTGCTAAGGAACCCATACTGCTCCTCGGCAACACCGGCCTCCGCAGCCTTGTCAACCACAGCCATCACATAATCTTCAGCCTCAAGTTTTCCAGGCTCATAATCCTCCTCTCTGGCATCCTCTGCTTTGTCTTCCTCTTCACCCTCCTCCTCAGATGGTTCGGCTTCCTCTTTCTCAAGTGCCTCATCCATGTCTTCTTCTGCCCGGTCATCACCGCTGGCCACTGACTCCCTCTTCTCCTTGATGTGCACATCCGCCTCAGCCTTTGCCCTTTCATCATCTTCTGTGGGGCTGTGCTTAGAGGCGCTCCCACTCACATTGTCTTCCCCATCCTCTTCGGGCTCCTCAGCCTCTTCAGTTTCTGCCTTCTCTTCGTAGTCTCCAGTCTCTGAGGATTCTTCAAAACCAGCTCCCTCGTCTTCAAATTTCTCAATGTCGTCCACTCCCTGCTTCTCGGCTGGCTCCAGCTCCTCAGGGGTCTGTTCACATTCCCCTTCCCCTTCAGTGGTAGTGATCCCCTCGTCAGGTGACTCAGCAGAACCTTTGATGCCGTCTGTCTCTTTCTGGATGACGTAGGCTTCCACGGGCTCAGTTTCCTTCAGTTTCTCTTCATCGTCGATGAGTTCCAGCTGAGGCTTGATGTCCTTTGCCACGTCAATCTCCTCAGCCTTTAGCTCCTCAAAGTCCTTGGTTAGGTCCTCAGGGGATGACATAAGGGACCTCTCAGCTTCAAGTTCTTTGGCAGGACCAGTGGCCGCTATGTCAGCTGCCACCGCAGCAGCTGTGGTGGCCGCAACGCCAACAGCTGTGGCGGCCGCCTCTGCTGTCTTGCCGTCCTTCTTAATGACTTTAACTTTGCCCTTGTCCTTGAGCTTGCCAGCAGCAGCGGACTCCTTCTTGGAGGGCTCTTCTTTCTTTGCTACTTTTGGTTTTAGTGCAGCTGGTTTTTTTGTTTCTGACAGAGGAGTGGATTTCTTTATGTCTTTGGAGATCTTCTTAATTTCCTTTTTGGGTTCCTTCTCTTCCTTTTTAACTTCTTTCTTTTCCTCCTTCTTCACTTCCTTCTTGGCCTCCTTCAGGGGTGTCTCCCTCTTCACCTCTTTCTTCAGCTCTTTCCTCTCCTCTTTCTTGATTTCTTTTTTGACCTCCTTTTTCGCTTCTTCCTTTTTTGGCTTCTCGTCCTTCTTGAGTGGTGTTTTGTCTTCCTTTTTAGCCACTTCTTTCTTGGGCTTCTCCTCTTTCTTTTCTTCGGGTTTTGCCTTTATTTCTTTCTTCACCACTTTCTCTTTGGTGACTTTGGGTTTGCTCTCGGTGGCTTGCTTCTCGGCCACCTCGGCTTTCACAGGGGACTGCTCCTCTTTGCTGGACACCTCCTTTTCCGTCACTGAAGGTTTGGCTTCTGTCTTTACTGGCTTGTCTTTTTTCACTGTTACTTTCTCTTTGCTTTCAGCTTTGGGTGTCTTTTCCACCTGGCTAGGCTTTGTGACTTCAGGGGCTTCTTCTTTGGATTCTTTCCTCACCGTTTTACTGGGGAGTGGTTTTGTAGCTGGCTTCAGGCTTTCCCGGCTGTCAGCCCTCTGTTTCAATTTGACTTGTTTCACTGTGGGGGTGGGCACCTGGCCAGTGAGATCTTTTTGGGTGGCCAGCGGCTGCTTTAGGAAGTCTAGATGCTTGAGTTTTTCCAGTCCTTCCAGGATGTTGTATTGGGTGCTGTTTCCGGGAAACAGAACTCGGATGATTTTCTCTGCGGGGTTGGCTGGATGCCACACAATCAATGATGAGACTGAAGTTAAGTAGGAAATTGGGATATCTACTTCTTGACCATTGGGCAGGGTTAGTTCAGCCTTGTCTTTGTTGGTACCAGTCCACTGCTGCATGAAATATTGCATTTCTTTGCTGCTCTTGACCGGGTTAAGCACGTACATCTCAAGCTTGCCCACTCCCATTTTTTGGAACAGGATGACAGGCTCAATGGTATTGCCTACACTTCTAAATAGAGGCTCTGGTTTCATCGACAGTTTGTTCAGGTACTGGAGGGTGAAGCATGCTTCTTCGATGCTCCTCTTCATCTTGATGTTGGGCTCTGGATTTTTCAGGCTTTCAGGGACATTGAGAAACACCACCCCCAGGTCAGGGGAGATGAGGTTTTTCATCCAGTCACTGTTGCTGGTGGAACCCTGGGACCGTTCCTCTTCCAGCTCTGCCATCTTCCGCTGCAGCATGCTATTGATACCTGGCAGATTGTCGTCCCCAATGTGGGTAAGCAGGATGGAGTCCACCCGATCCAAGTGCCGAATGAGCTTCCAGAAGCAAGATTTTCTTTCCGATCCTCCGTTAATAAGCATATTGAATCCGTTCACTGCAAACAGGGCAGAATCACCCCGGCCCCCTGGGAAAATGTAACAGCAGGGCTTGGAGAGCTTGAGAAAGCCACCCGAGGTCGGCGGTTCTAGGATGTCAAAGGGAGAAGGGACTTCCACAGACTCCGAGAGATACTCCGTAAACTCAGAAAGTCCCTCCATTTCTGGCAAGATAGAAGCTGAGTTGAGCTTAATGTTGATGAAGTCTTGGAGATTGTGTCTGTCAAGGTTAGAGTTCTTCCAGTCTCCCTCCTCGGGGCAGAAGAGAGTGAGGCTGGCTTTGTTGGCGGGATGGGTGGTGCTCAGGAGCTCCCCAATCTGGGTTTGTGAAAAAGAAAGGAAGGAAGAAAAGGGTTAAGTGATGTCATCGTTGACCCAGCACTCCATCTATTGTTAGTTACTTTAGCATCACTGACTTCACATAGGGCTAATAGCAAATTCTGGTCACAGTTCTGGTTAAAATACTGATAAACTTTCATTTTGGAAGGTGGACAGCCTCTGTTCTGAGTCCTTGTATGTACCCTTTGCCATCTCCTTACCTCTGCCTTGAATCCTCTCCATGTGTGTCCTTTCCCCAGAACCCTGCTTGGGTTCCAAAGCCTGGGACCATAAGAGTGGTTGGTGCTTACACTGCAATAGTTATAAAGTAATCTAAATACTGCCTCTGGGTGTTTGGCATGCAAAGATGCTCAGCAACAAATACTAGGATATCACGGGAGAAAGTGGTATCCGTCATTTCACCATGGCTTAGCAACCTTTACCTTAGCTTAAAGCCAGACAAAATGCCAGTATGGAGAGAGGCTAGGTGTGAAGCCCCACTGCCAGCTAAGGGGCTACTGCGATTGGTAGCTGCTAGAAAAGGGGTTGCCAATTTTCTTTAAGGGTGTGGTAGGCCACACATCCAAGAATATATGGGCAGCACAAGTTGGAGAAAATGGGTTTTAGAAAGATGAAAGAGGACACAATGTTAATTGGTAGGGAAAAGGGTCAGATCTGGGGGGAGTTATGAGGAAGCAAATATAATCAAAGTACATTGTACAAAATTCTCAAGGAACTAATAAAAAATAAAACCTAGGTTTTCTTAACCCACTGGACTTGACAAAAAGAACATGAATGATGCATTTGAGGAATTTAGATATTTCTTGGTATCTCCTTTCAGAATTCAATAGGCACAAAAGAAAAAAGTTTGGTAGCTAAATTCTATGTTTTGCTCTAGGAGACAGGAAGTTATTGATTGCCCACTACTACAACAAATTACTAGGCTCTGGCACCCACACTGTCTAAGTGCCTGGCCCAGCAAATCCTCTCCAAATGCAAATGCTCCTATTGAAGCCATGATGACAAAATGGTCTGGCAATCGTACAAACCAGTGGCCACATTCATCCCTCCACTTAAGTTTAACTCCAAGGTGGAAAAAAAAAAGAAAAAGCAAAAATAAATAAATAGAGAATTCCAAGGTGAGACTCCCATGATCCCAATGGATTCGAAGCAAGCTGGCTGTCAGTGAGTAAGATCTCATTTGGCTTAAACAGTTTTCAACATGCCATTCATTACTTCCCAAGGAATGGAATACAGAAAACTGAATCAGGACCAAAACACGTCTGGTTTTGGAAACAGTTTTCTTTTTCAATATCTAGGTCATATATTTCTTGGTTTTGGCTCAGCAAATGCAAATAATGCCATAAGCTCCAAACTTCTGTTTCAGCAAATCTTACATTTCAGTTCAGAGGTTCAAGTGACAAGGGCTCTAAGTCCAGATGCAAATGATTCAGGGCCAAAACAAATGGCCATCCTTGGGCCATGGGCTCTGAACCCTTGCCCTTGGTTTCTGGTCTCAAAGATTTCCAGAATACTATCACTCCTAAGCTATGAGTGTGAGGGTATGTATGCAGAAGCAATGTATGGAAGCCGAACTTTCCTATATTAGTTTGCAGGAGAACAGCCATCTTTGTTTTGTTAGGCTATCAATCCTGAGCATAACAGTTGATGTCACAAAATACCAGCATAACAATGCTTTGCTATTTTCCTTTGACTTAACTTAATCCTGTTCCATAAAACAGTTAAGAGTCAACTCCTGTTTGGGGAACTAAGAACACTAACACAGCAAATGGCAAATATCCATGGGGGTAAAGGGCATCACTGATCAAATCATTCCTTATAAATGTCAGTCATCCTTGGGAGAACTTTGGTCAGATTATTTGGTGGCCAAAGCAAACATGAATAAGGTTTTATTTTTATTGCCTTCTTCATTCATTCATTATGTATATATGTGTCGTGGTGTATGTGTGTGGCGGTCAGAGGGTAATTTGCTGGAGTGAGTTTTCTCCTTATAACATGTAGACCCTAGGAAGAAGGGGGGGGGGGGGATCTGGCATGGTAGTGCCTTTGCCCACACAACCATCTCATTGGTCCTTTAAATTTTTTTCTTACTCCATTTTATTTATCTTAAAATGTGTGTTTTTTGCTCAATAATTGGCATAGACCCTTGTCACCATAATTTTATCACAATAAGAATTCTCTTATTTCCAACTTTCACACAGAGTATGTGAGAACTATTCATATTTACATAGTAGGGGGCAAATCAAGAATAATCTAAACTGCTAAGACTTTCACAATGGAAATTTAAAAAGAAGTTGAGTTCATTTTAATCTTTGAGATCCAGTCTAGCTGAGCTGAGACAAGCTGAAGGTATAGTTTACCTGTGTGTGCCAGAGGTTATTCACTTATTAACTTGTGTCAATGATGTTAATGTTTTTAATGCATTTATTTTGTTGTTATATGTATGAGTGTTTTGCCTACACATATATATGGGCACTGCATGCTAGCCTGGTACTTCTAAAGGGCAGGAAAGGGTAAGAACTACCATGTGGGTGCTGGGAACAGAACCTGAGTCCTCTGGAAGAACAGCCAGTTCTCTTAACTGCCGAGCCATCTGTTGAGCCCCAGTTTGTAACTTTTTAATATGAAATATACAAGTCACCTCATTCAAGGAGAAAGTAAAAGGACTTGAGGGATATTATCCTACTTTCCAGCTCTTTACCTGTCCCCAGAGAGTTCCTATGAAAAGCAGAAAATGGCTCAAAAACAGATAAGGTTGCTGAGAATTCTGAGGAAGTCAGAGAGCATGAAAGACAGCCAACAGCCATCACTGGGTAGAAAACGATGATTAAATGAGATCAGGAAAGCAAGTCAGAGAACAAAAATTTAATCATCCTGGAAAAACATCAGCACACTACATCCGATGAGATCAGAACGTAAAGACAAGGGTTGGAGAGAGCCAGTCAAGGAAACAGGAGGGATAGGGCAGGAGACAGGAGGATGTCATAGCATCCTTGGGGCTACCCAGCAGAACTAAAGCCCCCATGTCTTCCCATAGTCTAGCTCCAAAGCTCTGTGGCAAGTATCATGATGAGGATGGGATTCAAGGGTAACAGATGACTGAAGATACCCAGTCCATGGCGATGCTCCATCCACACTCACTCAGTGAATGGTGGGATCAGTAAGAAGGATATAGGAATGCTGGCGGTATGAAGGGAATGATGACTAGTTCTTTGAAACTTGGGCTGCTAACCACAAACCATGTTAATAGTAACAACAACCCTATGGCATACCCTTAAACAATGAAAGTTTCTAGTTAGCAAAAACATTTTCTCTCCTTTCGTGTTTTAGTTGTCTTTGTTTCCTCATTGTATAAGCAGACTCAGTACACTAGGTTATATATTGCACTTAATTTGGTCAATTCGCCACATGATGTCTTCTTGCAGCTGTGACAAGTGCCTGCTGATGCTTATCAAACACAGTTCCCCTGCTTCTTAAAAAGATGGATGACAGACATGAGTAGGAGAAACACTGCTTGGAGTAAACTCATCTCTTTTGTTAATTACCTTTCCTGACAAATTCAGGCACACTTAAAGACAAAGAAGATAAAAGGAATATATGGCTTTATTGGTGACAGTAACAAAACAAGATTTATATTTCTAAACCATGGATTTCATTGTATTTCCTTTTTTGATTAAGTGACGTGCTGAAGAGGAAATACTGTAGACAGTGTATCTCTGGGCTTTGGCCAGACATTTAACAGGGTCTTGGGACAGTGTGATAGCAGAATTAGGTGGGTTTATAGGCAGCTACATAAGTAGTGCTCCTTAGTGTCAGCCTGGAGGGAGGTCTGTGATAGGCTGCATCAAGCTTCACTTCTGTCCTGTTGAGCATTGACTAGGATTAAAATGGAGCAGGGTGCTTGTCAAATCTGTGCATGGCTTCAAAATAAGAGGTGTAATGGAATGTGAGATGGCAGAACTAAGGTGTTTAAGACAGCTTTGGACTTCACATAATGCCAAGGCAACTGCAAACAGCTGGGCATTCTAAAGAGATAGATGTAAGTTTCAACAAGCCAGCAGGGTGAAGGATTGGAAGATGTGGCTTAACGACTATATCCCTGGAAAACCTCAGGAGATTTTAGCTGACAATCAAATGGATTTACATGAGCCAAAGAAGCTTAAACTTCAAGGTCCCTCACTAGCCTGGTCCTCTATTGAAGTAATGTACTTTAAAAGTGTATTAATAATGGGTTTCCTGTACTTAGTGGGAATCTCCATATCATGTTAAGTTGCAGAATGCCTCAAGGCCTGTATTTCTTCTCTGTTGACATTTAATTATGCTTGGAGAAAGCTGAAAGCCTTTAGACTTATTTATTAACCGGACTGGAAACTGTATAAATTACTGACTCTGGATACATGAATTCTGGAATATGGTGTCTAGGTTAGGTCATGATATCCAACAGTTGTATGAATGTATGTATGTATGTATGATCTCTCTCTCTCTCTCTCTGTGTGTGTGTGTGTGTGTGTGTGTGTGTGTGTGTGTTGATGCTGGTTGTCAAACCCAAGGTCTTGAGAATGCTAGGCAAGCACTCTACCATTGAGCTACATCCTCTACCCAAATTGTGACGTTTTAGAGAAGCCTGACTAAACAAACAAAACTCCTGAGACAAGTCTCTCTTGCTAGATCCTTCCCTTTGACTTTAGCCTCTAGAGTTCTTCATGCTTCTCTCTCTAGAGTGCATCTATCTTCTGGGCTTTAAATGCAAATATCACACAAAAGGATGACAAATGAATATCACTAAACAAGTCAATGATTCTTAGCTCTGGGCTCAAATATCCACCTGTCTGATAACTCCAAGCTGTGTCAAAGAATGACAAGTGCTGAAAGCTTGAATTCTCCCCATACCTACTAAGACAGGGAACACACAGGGCTATTTGCAACTTATGGAAAACCTAGAGTAAAACCAACCATGATTAATCTAGGGGATGAGTGGAAAGTGTAGGTAGACACAGGGTCAAGGTCCATCTTTGAAGATATAATGAAACAAACAAACAAAAAAAAAAGTCTTTCCTGTGGGAAGGTTGAAAACGATTCTGGGAAATGCTTTCCCATGCTGGTTATGTTTCTTTTTCAGTTGACTAGTATGTTTCAAGGGTTGGAGAAATGCAGCAAGAGTGAACAGCAAATGACCTCACTGAGCCATTCTGCAAGCCTTCTTCCAAGGCAACAGTAAGTGATCATAGCTCCAAACACGAATAGCCATTGATCTAGACTGGTAAGTTTTTAAAGTTTTTATTAACTCTCCTGCACGCCTGTCCGTCTGTGTAGCGCGTGTATGCGGTGCCCTAGATGGTGAGAAGAAAGTGTTGGTCCCCTGACACCTGAGTCACAGAATGTTGTCTGCCACCATGTGGGTGCTGGGAATTGAACCTGGGTCCTCTGGAAGAGCAGCCATTGCTCTTAACCACTGCCATCTCTCCAGTCGCTAGTCTAGTAATTTTTAAGCCATTTTAGCTGTGGCATCCTTGCTTTCATGTCTAGGTAAAAGAAACACAGGCTGAGTTCCATTGGCTTGGCAAGAGGGCAGGCATGAATCCCACACTCCAGCCATCACCCTAATACTAATGATCTAGTCTATTAGAGAAAAATTGTCCATCTGTTTTGTGCACAGAGCATGACTTCCACCAGAGAAGGTAGGGTAGGAGAGAAGAATATGGACGCTCATGACCTCAGTGACGGCTGCTCAGGTGTTAGCATCCACCTTTATTACTACAAACCCTGGAGAAGCTGTCCCTTCTATAGAACTTGAATTCTTTAGATAAGGTTTTCCTTTTCTTTAGAATTAATGGTAAAATTAGGTACATGCACAGCCCATTGCAGAAAGCCTCCATTTCCACAACTTTTAGAAGGGATTTAAGTAGCAACTTCATAAAACTATTCCCTACGTTAAAAGGGGGGATTACTTGGGGCCCAGATCGGTGGCATGTGATGCCTCCTTATATAAGATCTTGGCCGTGATAAAAATGCTTTCCTTTCATATTTCCCTTGTTTGGTTTTCATGACAAAAAAACAAACCCATGATGTGGGCAGAAAGCGAACACTAGGAAGGCACTGCAGAACTGAATAGGAATGCAGGAACGCGTCCATGAGCGTGTAAATGAACCAAGGCCTCCGGGCTGAGATGAGCTTACCGGCAGAGCCCAACATAACACCAGGCCTCTACAGCCCACTCCGCTCCCTGGGACAAGATGCTGACATCTGAAATGCCAGACAAAGGCCTGAGTGCCCTTCGTAGTGCATGATCTACCAACAGGATCTTGAAAAAGAGCTGGCATTGCAGTGACTATTCACCAATTTCGGGGCAGTCTAAATGGGATATCACGGCTCTTTCTCTCGGCATTTCAGGGCAATTGAGCAATGTGGGTGCAATACATCAGCCCCAGAGGAAGAGAGAACACAGCTCTGGAGAAGGACACAGGCAAAGCTTCCTCCTTAAGGTGGGAAGACAGGCCAGCTGTGATGAGCCCCGAGGACTCCCAGGCCCAAGGACTCCGAGCCCCGAGGGCTCCTAGCAAGGAGCCACTTGCCAGCCAGGTTTCTCACTGTGCTGAGCGGGTGTGATGTGCCTGCAGGTACAGACGACCTCACACTCTCTGAGAGAGTGCCACACTATGTAAAATTGTTCCTTTGCATGATTCTGTGCTGCCTAACCCTCTGGTGTGGGGAGAGGGAAAACTGCCTTGTTATCTCGTCAGCGTTTTACTAAAGAATGAATCTGGGCAGCTTGCTGAGAGGATGAGCACACAGAGACTTCTCCCTGAAGTGAGGGGCTGAGGAAGCTTGAATGCAGGAAGACCGGACAAGAGCCCTTCCCAGCACGTGAGAGACGCCAAGGCTGCCATCTCAGGGAGACAGAGCTAATGGCTATGGTAACTCCTCTCTACCCCACCCCACCCCACCCCACCCCAAGCTTTTCCCAGTGCTTCACTCTAAACATAGGGGCCAGTCATTAGAGATAAGAGAAATTAGAAATAATCAGGTCAGGAAAAGTGGCAGAAATCCTATCAGAGATCAAGGCAGGGACATCCTGCTGAAGTCCAAGAGATCTATAGAGAAAGAAGTCTCTCAGAATACAGGAAAGCTGGGTTTCTTGTGGAGTGTTGTCCTTTCTACTGCCTCCAGCATTTCTGCCCACCTGTAAACACTGCCCGCCTAGCACACCAGCAATGGCTCCCACTGCCCGCCTACGTCTCCGACACACCAGCAACTATCTGCAGCAACTATCGGCCGACTGGAACTGTGGTCAAGCCCAGGCCCAAGTCATTTGGCGTCATAGTTTTGTTTATTCCAAAGGGGCCCGCCCCTCCTGGGTTCCCTCACGCATCCGGACACCCTGTGCGGGACCTACCTCTTGATCGGTGAAAATCTCTATGAAGTTCTGGAAGGAGAAAGAGCCTGACTGGAGAATGAGCTCTCCAGTGTTCTCAAAGCACTGTCCTGTGAGCACCAGCAGTTTGTGGCGGGCCGCGTCAGTGATCATCAAACGCACCTGAAACACAGCGAGGGTCACAGAGCTGAGGAGAGGCTGGGAGACGGAGCCTGAAGCTTTTTACCAACCAAACACGTTCATTCCAAGAGTCTAACTTCTTCAGTAGAGGGTGGGGGCAGGGATGCTGGACAGAGCTCTGGCTGTAGGAGTTATGCATAAAATTAATCGTGGCTATTAGTGCGCCTGTGAATACGATTTTAGAGCTTTCCATCAACCAAAGACAGAAATGGTTGCTGACTTTGTCCCCTGAGGCCCCTCCTCTTTGCAAAGCAGTTTTCATAGCTGGCAAGCATTTGTTCCATAGCTGTTGGAAAGGGTGTGCTAGCAGCCTGCAGCCTGTGAGGCCAGGGGAGACTTGTGGATATGTCAGTCCAGGTCCCCGCCCCCATCCCCCCAGCTACCCTCAGAAAAGAGGTGTTTCCAAGTAGCGCCTCAAAGTTACACATTCCTACCCAGGATTCCGTCCTTCTAAGCCACAGAACAAGCACACCATGCTAAATGCAGACTCCAGAGCTAGCCGCAAGGTGCTTGACACTGAACACAAAGGCGACCCCTGAAAGGCAAGCTAGGAAACCGCATTGAGAATTGTCTGTGCTAAAGAGCTCTCAGGGAACTTTCAGTGACAGGGAAGCCAGCTGCCCCCCCCCCCCCGCCACCTCCCGCCACCCCCCTTCCCCACCCCACCCCCACCCTCCACCCCCCCGCCCGGGAGAAACACCACACCCAACGCCAATGTTCTCAAGCGAGGTTGTGAATATTTACCACACACTATGCGGGCCACATCATGTTCTGCACTGGGGAGAATTCAAAACTAAACAGGCCATGACTCCCCCGCCCCCCCACACACACACTAAAGAACCCCACAGGCCACTCCTGGAAAAGCATGCATGCCTAAATAGTTGTTTCAGACTCTGAAACACAGACTAGCTGGATTTAAAAAAAAAAAAAAAAGCTTTCCTTTTTATTTATTTATTTATTTTTCCACAGCTATTCTAGGCAGTCTGTATAGTAATCCTCCAGCTTTTTTGGTGACGGAAATTGCTATCCCAATGCTTTTTAAGACTCCACGCCTTAAGGGATGGTCAGAGCTTTTGAAGGCAGAAGTCAACACTGGCCCGGTTATGATAGCCCCAAAGTAAAAGCCACCTATGTGCTAGCAATTAAGATTGAGCATATGCAAATGTATGCAAAAGGGTACCACACACTCATCCAAAGGAGTGCAGCACTGACACAAGCTACAGCGCAATCGAACCTTAAGCTAAGTAACTTAAGCTGAACAGAGGAAAAAAAAAAAAACAGGTCACATGTTTGCATGATGCCATATACATGAAATGTCTGAAATAGAAAATTCTGGAGAGAAATAATAGGGGTTCCCAGAAGCCAAGGAGTAGTGGAGTGACTGCTAGTAGGTTTAGGACGTTTTGAGGGAGTGATGGGCATGTTTTGGAGGTAGGTGGTGATCATATCTGTTCAATTTTGTAAACTTTCTTTTAAAAAAAAATCACAAAATTACCTACTTTCAGTGGATGAATCTATGGTTTATGAATCATATCCCAATTTGAAAAACCATATAGTCAAGAGTTGCAAAGGCATGGGCAGAAGATACCACAGCAATGATGCTGCCGGGGCCTCTGGCTACTTTAATGTATAAGAAGCAGCTATGTCTCTAAGGAGGTGGGAAAGAAACTCTGTCAATGCTCGGCCAGGGGGATGAAATTCTTATGTCAAGAAGGGTCCTGAAATGCCCAGTTACTCTCTAGAGCAATAATTTCACATGATGCTAACGATACAGTAGCAAAGGCCACCATGTATACTTTAGCCACCATGCATCAAAATGGGGGGGGGGCGGTATGGCGTTATGATCTCCATTGCTGCTGTGCAGCAAAGCAGCAAGATAACTTGAGAGAGGCCAGACCTTGGGTGAAGAAGCCAGGCGATCTGGCCTGGGCTGGACACTAAGTTTCTGATGCTTGTGCTGGCTTGTCTTCCAACTGTGGCTGAGGGCTGGCCTGGAGAGCTCTGAACAGGGATGCTACTAGGATGCTAGCCTTCTCTGAGTCCCATCCCTGGGGGCTTGCAAGTCCTCTGCTGCATTCCTATTCCCCATCCTGGCAACAACACAGCCGATGCATGCCCCCAATTCTACACCCCTCCACAAGTACTCTTCCAGCTGGCACTGCCCACTGTGTTCTGAAGGGAAGAGGCTTTCTGAGGTGATACTAGATGCAGAGAGCCGGCCTGTGGGTATCAAGGGAGACTGGATCCTGGGACTTCTCCTGCTTGCATCCATCTCCAACTACCACCTACCTAGCCCCTCTGATCAGCCAAGCCTCCCTTCTGTGGGGCTCTAAGGAAGACCGCACAGAACTGAATACTCACCTCGGTGCTGACCGCTTCATCCGAAGGGTTGATCAGGACTACTGTTTCCAAAATGTCACTTCGGTGATGAAGGATCTTTTGTCCTGAAGGCACAAAACACACACAAAGAAGAAACCTTTAGCTTTTCCAGACGAAAGCTGCTCGCCTGCCCCTGGGACGGCAGAGGAATTTCCAACTCTGAAGTGGCCCTGGAAACTGGGAAACGCAGTGGGTGCTACTGAGCAGGAGGGTGTACACACAGCAGGCTGAGCTGTGTTGGTGTAGCCTGAGGCCCCCAGGTTCTCACACTTGGTCTTTCATGGTCAATGGCGGGGCAGCCTCCTGACCCAATGGCGGGGTTTTCATCTGAGACCAGGGAGGGATGCCAGTGAAACTCAACGGGGCTCTTGACATTTCCTTTCTCATGGTAATCAGGGATGTTTCTCCCTAACGGCCTTTCTTCTGGTGAGAACTGCGCGGAGATTAATTAGGAGCCTCATTGTGAAGTGAATGACGGCCAGAAACCCGGCTAACAATTAACCCAGCAGCCAGAATGGCTGTCTGAGGCAGGCTCACGGTCTGTTGGGGTATTCACTAATTAATTCGCTTGCCCCGTAGAAGAGTGAAGAGACTTCAGGCAAATGAAAGTCCGAGAACAACCCTCCCACAGGACAGGGTGGCCGAATTGCCCGCCAAGACAAAATGGATGGAGAACAACAACAAAAGCAAGGTGTGCTTTGAGATGAGGGAACCTGTTTAGGGAAGCTCCGGCAGGGCCTTGGATAGCCTTCTCTTTATAGGGCCATCCCGAGGCTGACCAGACTCCGCCTTAAGTCAGCGGAGACCTAGTCTACAAATACTACCCTGCCTTGACAAGATGAAAGACATGGAGTGAATGTGGCCAGCCACTGATGTATGGATGCTCTTCCAGCACACAAGGGACGGAGCAGAGGGGGCCCTCGGAAATGTGGGAGGAAGCCACGTGGTTGGGAGGAGAACATGCCTGCTGTTTGGAAGTACAAAGAAGCTTGGGAGAAAGGAGGAACCAGAAGAGAATCCGAGGGACACACCAACAGAGAAAAACACAAACGGGAAATGGAAAATAGATCTAGGGTCCTTCAAAAAGCTAAACAGAAGCACGTATGACCCACCATTCTGTATGCTGCAATTTGAAAGCAGAAATTTGAACAAATACTTTTTTTTTTTTTTTTTTTTTTTTTTTTTTAGTTTTTCAAGGCAGGGTTTCTCGATGCAACAGCCTTAGCTGTCCTGGAACTTGCTCTGTAGACCAGACTGGCCTCGAACTCAGAGATCCACCTGCCTCTGCCTCCCTCCTGCTGGGATTAAAGGTGAGTATGCTACTGCCTGGCTGAACAAACACTTTTATGCTAATGTTAATTGCAGCTTTATTTTAGTAGCCAAAGGTAAAACAACCCGAGTCTGTCTATAGGTGACTGAACAAAATTTGGTCTACTCACAGTGGAATACTAGTTAGGGATAGAAAAAAAATGAAGCTCTGATAATGTTACAAGGATGAACTTGGCGCCCACTACACTAAATGCAGAGCTGGACACAGTGGGCAAACAAAATATGATTTTATTTTCACGAAATATCCAGAGTAGCCTGGTGGTGATAGTGCATGCCTTTAATCCCAGTACTTGAGAGGCAGAGACAGGTAGATCTCAGTGAGTTCTGGACCAGCCTGGTCTACAACATGAGTTCTAGGCCTGCTGGAACTGTTACACAGAGAAACCCTGTCTTGAAAAATCAAAATTTAAAAAAAAAAAAGAAAGAAAGAAAGAAAGAAAAGAGAAAAAGAGAAAGAAAAAGAAAAAAGAAATATCCAGAATAGGTAAATTCAAACTCCAAGGGGAGATTAGTAGTTACCAGAGGTTTAAGGAGGGGGAATTGGGGAGCTATTTCTTAATGGATACTATTTCATGTTTGGGGTAATGAAAACATTTTGAAATGGAGGTGTTGGTTTACACAACCTTACGGGTGTAATGATCACTCCTGAGTTGCACATCTATAAAAAAAAAAAAAAAAAAAAAAAAGCTACAATGGCAAATTTTTCTTTGTGCATATTGTGTCACAAGATGACAATTAATGTGGCAGGGCACCTCACATGGGTGAGAGCCTGGTATGCATGCTGTCTCGGTGAAGCAGTTAGAAGGAGACAGCTCCATGCACTTGACTAGAGTTTTCCCCTTTGTATCACCAAGGATCTGAGAAAACAGAAACATCCGCACAGTGAGGCTCTTACCATGTCACCATCATTGATCAGTCTTGCTTTCCGCAACAGTAATATTTACCAACAAACTCTAATGAGGCATAGGAGCGGCCCAAACCAAACCATAATGGTCCTGAGCACAGTTCTGAGACACACACAGTTTCACTCAATCCCCTCAAGGGCTCTCACACGGCACTAGGACCATCGCCCACTTCTGCTAAAGACCAAGAGCTGACAGAAGACTCCACAACAAGCAAATGGTCAGGCCAGGGTGTGGCTCCAGGTTGCCTGGCTCTATATCCCTTCTGGATTATCACTTCTTGTGGTGCTAGTTATTAGGACTTGGATTTGGCAAAACGGACATCAAACCCTGAAGAAGAACTTAGAGAAAGACCAACAGGATAAAAGCAGAGATGTGCTTAAAGAAGCAGGAAGTCAGCAGAGGGTACCGGGTGGTCAGCTGAGACAGCACACCTAGACACAGAAAAATAAAATTAAGTGGAACCACGTCAATGTCCGGCTCCAAAAGACTGGTGACAGAGAAACTCCTAACAAGAACCGCTCTGTTTGAGCAGGCAAAGACCCGAGACTCGTGAAAAAGATGCCCATCCATGGAAAACAAAGTTCCTTTCACATGAATGCTATAACTTGTAATTAATTTAAAAATCGCCTTTTGGGTTTTTGATTGTTTTCCCTTTTGACAACCATGCACACTTGAAGCTAAGGCAAAGGCAATGCAAATAAGCAGACGACACAGTGAAAAATGACACAAAGACCTCCTCGATCAAGGGTCTCTAAGCCTTCCCTCTTCTGTCCTCCTTGGAACAAAGACTTGGAGATCTTTGAAGACATGAACTTAAGACAACATTAAGCTGACACTTAAAAACAAGAGCTGAAAGGCTATTTCTTCATCATTTCTTTGACCTGAGTACCCAGAGCACCAGACCATTGGTGAGCCCGGGTATGACCACTGTCATTAACTGCGTTCTTAGGAAGTCACAGCAACAAACTGAAGAAAGGTCTGCAGAAGCAACCCCCTTCCCAAAGCGACACATGCAGCACAGGCACGCTCCTGCCCACACAGTCCAGCCTTCCCAGAGGGGTCTCCAGCCCCTCCCTGCCAGGGGCTTCTTACTGTCCACCAGACATTCTCTTCCTCCTTGGCTTCCTCACTTGCAGACAAAACAAATGCCCAGTAACAGCTGCTGGGAACCTCCACTCTTCCTTAGTCATTTTCAGAGTAGCCTGCCCAGGAATTCGGCTAATGATCTTCTCCCCATCTTTGCAAGCGTTCAGGGGGTAAGGCACCGACAACGCATGCGCAGCAAGATGCCTCTTGAGAGGGCTGATCCAAATGCAAAAAGGGATATAAAGGCAGCCAGGGAAGCTTCCAGCTCTTGCCTCGGCTGGAATGTTGTCCAGATTCAACCTCAAGACTTAAGCAGAGATCAGGCTTGGCAAGGCCAGGGCCCGGGCTGAGGGACCTGTCAGCCTGTCAGACCCCACACCCAGCATCCCGCGGGTGCCTGCTCTGTACCAGCAGGCGGCTGTCTGCTTGGGCAGCTGCGAAACTCACAAAGCCACATATTTGGGGAATGCTTCACACTGGGAACAGGGCCAGGCATTCTGAGGGAGAAAGCCACCAACCACCCTTGCCTGTAAAGGTCCCATTGAGTTGCTTTAGAAAAAAGAAATTCCCAGCCTCTCGCCTCACCCTCTTGTCTGCCTTCTCCATAGATACCTCATAAAGAAACCAAGGGGCACCCTATGAATAGTGAACCGTCCTCGGCCTTGTGGAGGCTGGACATGAAGTGATGGAGTTCTGTCACTCAGTTTCATATGCTTTGAAATCTTCCTAAAAAAAAAAAATCCCACATAGCCATGAGGCTCGACCTGGTGAGGTGGGGGCGGCAGAGAGGGCCATTGTGTGACAAGGGGTCTGCTTCACTCAGAATAAAAAGAGGATGAGGACCCCTGAAGCAGCAGGGCCCTTCAGACAGTGGGGCTTTTGTCTGTGGTCTCCCCAGGCTGTATTGAAATTCAAACAGTCCATACTTTCCAGTTATTGATGGGATTTTTTTCTTTTTCCATTTTGAAAATCTGATAGATTAATTGGATCTTCATGTCTTTTAAAGTTGGGTTGTTTGGGGGGGGGCTTTATGTTTCACTACATCTAGGCGATTTTTGAAATTTCTTAAGATAAAAATGACATTTCCTAAGGTAAAAATGGCATTTCTGTGATTCCAGGGTAACTGTGGGTCTCTTCAGGGAGTTTAAGATTCCCTCTTAGCATGGCTGTGACATGCAGGACAGAGGCTCTCTCCTGGGTGTCAGAGACTCAAGCAGACTCTTCACTGAGGGCCTCCACACAGAGCCTGGACAGAGATGTAGCTCAGGTGACAGAACCCTTGTCTAGCATTCACTAGAGGCCTAGGTTTGATCCCTAGCGCTACATAAAAGTGCTCATGGTGATGCATGCTTGTGACCTCATCACTTCAGAGGTGGAGGCTAGAGGACCAGAAATTCATGATCACCCTTGACTACCTGTTGAATTCCAAGCCACTTGGGACTATCCAAGACCCTGTCTCAAAAAAGAAAAATCTAGAACCTTCTTTTGTACATGTGTAGGGCTTCTCTCCCACACACGGAACCCATTATGTAGTAACTGGGTCCAGAGCAACCCTAGCATCCAGAGCCGCAAGGTAGCTGAGGAACACAGACCTACTACAAGTGTTTACGTTGTTCTTATAAGCACAAGGCCCATCTTGAATTCCCTTTCAATGGTTACAAGCCAGTACTTTATTTGGATGACTTCAATTTATTAAATTGTGTGGTAGGGAAAGGACGAAGAGGGTCAAGATGGTGGCCGGGGGT